TCATAATAATATTATAGGGTAGTTAACCATGTACCTACCCATGTAGGTATCATGTTTTATGCTAATTGATCGCATGAGATTATGTGTTCTGAGAGCTGTAATTTAAATTAAATTATTACTTTTCAGCTCATTTGGACTTTTTATAGTTCCAAAAATAAAATCGCGTTAAGCAATTTGGGGTAGTATATCAATTTTTCAATTTTTCTGAGTGCCTTTTTTCATAGATTTCGGCTTAAAATCTGAGAATAATTTAGTGTAAGGAGTTTGGAGTCTGTTGATTGAGCATTAGGATACAAAATCTCAACAAATTTTTTTTTGAAATTTTATCGTTTTAGTAAGTAAATAAATTTTTTAGTTTTAACCTTATGATTTAGATTTTGGGAAAATTTGGAAGGGCATAACTTTTTTTCTATTACAGATAGAAAGCTGGAACTTTCACTGAATTTTATCCCTTTCAAGGGACTACAATCCCTGAAAATGTCAGCTCATTTGCACTTATACCTGAGATAAAATCGTGTTAAGCAATTTGGTGTGATTTATCAATTTTTCAATTTTTCTGAGTGCCTTTTTTTCATAGATTTCGGCTTCAAATCTGAGAATAATGTAGTGTATGGAGTATGGAGTATGTTGATTGAGCATTAGGATACAAAATCTCGACTAAAAAAAAATTGAAATTTCATCGTTTTAGTAAGAAGGTACCTTACCTTATGATTTAGATTTTGGAAAATTTTGAAAGGTCATAACTTTTTTTCTGTTATAGATAGAAAGCTGAAATTTTCACTAAAATTTATCTCAATAAAGGGACTACAATCTCTGAAAATTTCAGCTCATTTGCCCTTATAGTTCTTGAGATAAAATCGTGTTAAGCAATTTGGTGTGATTTATCAATTTTTCTGAGTGCCTTTTTTCATAGATTTCGGCCTCAAATCTGAGAATAATTTAGTGCAGTGGTTCCCAAACTTTTTTAACCTACCGCCCACTTTTAGAAAATGGAAATTATCCAGCGCCCCCCTTGGCAGGAATCCAAAATATTGAAGCGGCGCCTTTTTTTTGAGGGGCTGAGCGTCAAGTTACCTCCTCAGTAGGATTTTGTCAGAAAATGACCGAATATGGAAATTTTGAGAAAAACCTGATACAGCACAGTTCAGCATCTTACTTCAGATTGCATAAGAATCCATTTTTGTTTTATCTTATTTCTAAAATGTTGGGAGGCTGAGCGTCAAGTTAGCCTTCCCAGTACGATTTTGTCGAATAATTACCGAATATAGAAATTTTGAGAAAACCTGATACAACACATGTCCAGCACACTTCAGATTGCATAAGAATCCATTTTGGTTTGATTTCCAAAATTTTTGGGGGGGCTTAGCGTCAAGTTAGCTCTTCCAGTAGGATTTTGTCAGGAAATGACCGAATATGGGAATTTTAAGAAACCTGATACAGCGCACTTCAGATTGCATAAGAGCCCATTTTTGTTTCATCTTATTTCCAAAATTTTGGGGGCTGAACGTTAAGTTAGCCCCCCCCCCAATAGGATTTTGCCTGAAAATTACCGAATATGGAAATTTCGAGAAAAACCAATTCAAGCACAGTCCAGTATCCCTATTCTTGAAACGGGGGAGCAGCGTTCCCAGGAAAACAAGTATTCCGTCTTTGTTACTTATATTATTAGTTGCATATCATTGAGAAAGACGAAACACTCGTTCTCCTGGGAACGCTGCTCCCCTGTTTCAAGAATAAGGACCCAGCACACTTCAGTTTGCATAAGAATCCATTTTTGTTTCATCTGATTTCCAACATTTTGGGGACTGGTGGTCAAGTTAGCACCCCCAGAAAGATTTTGTCAGAAAATGACCTAATATGAAAATTTTGAGAAAAACCTGATACACAGCACAGTTCAGCACACTTCCGATTGCACGAGAATTCACTTTTGTTCGATTGGATTTCCAAAATTTTGGGGGGGCTGAGCGTCAAGTTAGCCCCTCATCTTATTTTCCCTATAACTTTGGTATCAGAACAGCACAGTTCAAAGTGGTTGCAATTTTGTTAGAAAAGTCGAATGGGGGGGCTTACTTGACGGAGCTAATTTGAAGTTATTTATAAGTAAAATACAATAATCGCATTTTAAGCAAGTCATAGCAGACTTAGTTGAGGTGCGTGCGGGTTGTGTTCATAACTTGAAGACTATGAGCCTCATCTTTATAGTATTGAAGAGTAATTTCCGTAAAAAGCCATTTACTATTTAATTTTTTTTTTTCTGATTTGTTCGTTTATTTTCACCGCCAACTAATTTGTGCTTACCGCCCCCCAAAATCAGCTGAGCTCTTTACCGCCCCCCGAGATGGTTGTAGCGCCCACTGGGGGGCGTTATCGCCCACTTTGGGAACCACTGATTTAGTGTATGGAGTTTGGAGTATGTTGATTGAGCATTAGGATACAAAATCTCGACAAAAAAAAATTTGAAATTTCATCGTTTTATAAGAAGGTACCTACCTTATGATTTAGATTTTGGAAAATTTTCAAAGGTCATAACTTTTTTTCTATTATAGATAGAAAGCTGGACCTTTCACTGAATTTTATCCCTTTCAAGGGACTACAATCCCTGAAAATGTCAGCTCATTTGCACTTATAGTTCCTGAGATAAAATCGTGTTAAGCAATTTGGTGTGATTTATCAATTTTTCAATTTTTCTGAGTGCCTTTTTTCATAGATTTCGGCCTCAAATCTGAGAATAATTTAGTGTATGGAGTTTGGAGTATGTTGATTGAGCATTAGGATACAAAATCTCGACAAAAAAAAATTTGAAATTTCATCGTTTTAGTAAGAAGGTACCTACCTTATGATTTAGATTTTGGAAAATTTTCAAAGGTCATAACTTTTTTTCTGTTATAGATAGAAAGCTGAAATTTTCACTGAAATTTATCTCAATAAAGGGACTACAATCTCTGAAAATTTCAGCTCATTTGCCCTTATAGTTCTTGAGATAAAATCGTGTTAAGCAATTTGGTGTGATTTATAAATTTTTCAATTTTTCTGAGTGCCTTTTTTCATAGATTTCGGCCTCAAATCTGAGAATAATTTAGTGTATGGAGTTTGGAGTATGTTGATTGAGCATTAGGATACAAAATCTCGACAAAAAAAAAATTTGAAATTTCATCGTTTTAGTAAGAAGGTACCTACCTTATGATTTAGATTTTGGAAAATTTTGAAAGGTCTCATAACTTTTTTTCTATTATAGATAGAAAGCTGAAATTTTCACTGAAATTTATCTTCATTAAAGGGACTACAATCCCTGAAAATTTCAGCTCATTTGCCCTTATAGTTCTTGAGATAAAATCGTGTTAAGCAATTTGGTGTGATTTATCAATTTTTCAATTTTTCTGAGTGCCCTTTTTCATAGATTTCGGCTTCAAATCTGAGAATAATTTAGTTTATGTAGTTTGTGGGATTCCAAATGACTATTAGAACACCAAATCTCAACCAAAAATTTGAAATTTTATCGATCGTTTAGTACTGATGTCATAATTTTTTCTCTAGTTTAGTTTCTTCTCGTTTCAACGGTTTTCCAGGAATGTCGTTAAGAAAAGCTTCCAATATTATGGGTTTTATGGTCTTAACGAGTCCCTGTATTTAATATTCCACATTAATTCAGCTTGTCAAAAGCTTATAATATATTACAAGCAATTCCTGCCAATAAATTGGTCCACATTACTAAGATTTGCTTGACAAAGTCTATTATCTTGTCAATAGTTTTAATCAGCGAAGTTAACAAGTAAACTGATTGAATTTGAATGAAGATTATTACATTTTAAATTTTTGTGTCCTTTCTTCTATGTAACGAAAATATGCAACGCTAGGCGTATCAACTACCACAAAGTCGAATTAATTTTTGAAAGATGTGGTAAAACTTACCATAGTACTATATTTTTATTCACTAATGTGAAAGAGTGGTAAGTATATGATTATAAAACGTCATTACTCAGGAGAACGTACCCTCCTCTTTCTCTAACGTGTTTCATATGAAACTTTATTAAATTTACTATTACGAGGGAATCAGGGAAAAGAGAGGATGGAAAGGCGATAATGATACAAGTTGAATCAGTGAAATTATCAAGAACTTCAACATGCTATTGAGAAATTTCTGAGGGAGTTTAGGAAATTTAATTACGTAAATTTACTAGTATACACTGCAAAGGGAAAATATCGCATCGTGTACCCCAAAGCCTAAATTCACATTTTAATTAACTGCCTAGATGAAAATAATCATGTTTAAAGCGTTGTAGGTACCTAGAGAAGATAATTTAGAAATTAAAATGGAATGCTTTGTATGCAGTATGCAGCAGAACTTCTTTAGGTAATGTAGTCATTTTATTCAAAATATAATTTCAAGTCTATTACAAATTACTTATGTTTGTAAATTAATATTGATTTTTTAATTAATTTTATCCAAACCGACTAGTGATGATGAGCTAAAACTTTAAAGATTTTATGTCTAATCTCAAATCTTATGGGACTTAATCAATCATCCACCGTTTCCAACACTTAATGTAAAGCTAATTAGCAGCGGAAAACATTAACATTGGTAAAATTACTTATATACTTAAATTTTCAACAGTTAAGGAAAAGAAAGAAAGCAAACATAATTGGCGTACTTATGTTCAATTTTAGAAGAAATTGCTTCTGAAAAGCTAATGGGTCAAATTCACGATTTAATGGTTAAGGACATAACTTCATTGTTATTGTCCAGAATAAGAAGTGTTTCTGTAGTAAAGTTACTATATCACTTCATTCGTGAATCGTGAGAGAATTTGAAAATCGGTGAAAAAAACTGGACGACACGAATTTTGAGAAACTCTGCTTCAAGCTAGAAATTACTGAAGAACATGTTTAAGTTTAAAATTATAGGTACACCAAATTGCCTAAAAAGAGATTCGAGAAGGAAAAATATTGTCTTCTAAAATTTCAAGGCATCCAAGTTAAATGCGGTCTTAAAAAAAACTCACTGATTTTCCCAACCAAAATGAAGTTTGTTGTTAGCACAAAGATGTTCGCAAAAAATTAAAATACTTATGTTGAAAAGCGATAGAAAAGAGCGCGCGCGTGCGGAAAAGTGTCAACAAAACGTGCTGATGGCGAGTCGGAAAAGCACAACTACTGACTGACGGTAGAGTGAAAACGCGAAACACTTGCGAAAAGCGCTCGCTTTCAGCCCTGCAGCCTGCTTATTTGCTCGGGCGCTTGGGTCATAGGAGGGTGCCATGTCTCCAGTTGCTCCAGACGTGCTTTGCGCCTGGCTTCAACTCTACACGACTTTAAAGCGTTTCAAAAACATCCCGTTTGCGTTTATGTAGGTTTCATTTTTTGTTACGCATAATATTGCCAGTCTCTTAGCGGCCGAGGTTTCGGATGATATTGATAGAATATTTTATTTTCTCATTAGATAAAAATTCAAGAAACGTTCACGTAATCAATAATCCATACTCCAAATTTCACTCTATTCGATATTGTGTTTGACGTTCGAGAATGCTCAACTTTAAAATTGATTTTCTCTCAAATTAATTTGAGGAAACAAAACTCCACCACATGTCGGCAACAGGCTTCGGCTCTTTCTATCAAGTTTTCGGCTATAATTTTCATTAAACCGTTACTATTTTACTGATTAATCCGAATTTTAATTGAAAAGCCCCATAGTAAATTGAATACTAGGGATAGATTAACAAAATCAAAAATACAAAATGGAAAAGGTATTTTTTTTTTGTTATAAGCAAGGAATTTACCCATAAATCAAGCTACACTTTACATAAATGATATTGGATTTTCTTCTTTCTTTAGTAATGAAATTTGTTTTGTGGACGTTTGCTCAAAATGGAGTTTTAGCTCTGATGGCAGCATATTTTAACCTATTATTATGTTTTGGAATTATTAAAATTTCATTAGTGACTTACAAATCATTTTTGAGAAGTTACCTTATCTCAACCATCACCCACCGACTGAAAAATTATGAAGACAGAGGAAAAATAACGAGCTAAAAAATAAAATTAAATAATTTATTCATATAATTATAATAACTATACAAAAATCTCAATACAACAATAATGTAACGAGTTAATAGCTAGCAAAAAATGTAGGTACCTACACCTGAAAAATTCGTCAAGTTTTAAAAATGTTCTAATCATGGAAAAAGGGGTTCTAATAATATCGTCAAATTACATTTTCCTATGATAGGTACAATTAATTCTAAATATTGTAATAATTATTATTAGAGATGATTTATTTTTTAGCTTATTATCCAAAATTTATGAGTCTAAGGCTAAAAATTAACACTAAATAACATTCGAGTGAAAGGAGCAATATAATATCTAAAAATGGCAGTGAAATTTCACCTGACAAGAGGTGATTAAAGTTATGTTCCAACATAGCAGGAAACCATACATTGTACCGTCACGTTCTGCGCAAAACCTAAAATTTGTGCGTAGAATTCAAGATTCGTATACAGAGTGGTTTCGAAACTGTCCATGGGCCAGTTTTTTACGAGTTGGAACAGACCTTATACTATAAGTTGTATACGTATATTATTTTATGAAAAATGTATGCATTTTTTGCGCACATTCTTCATTCGTTTTCCATTGCTCCTCGATTCAATAATCATAAAATAAGACCCTTTCTATTTTCTTGCTTTATTCAAACTGATAGCTGGCTTAAAGAAGCAATTAAAATTTCTCCCACCCATTTTGTACCCTTAATATCATATTTCAGAGATTCTGGTAGCTACTCCTCCTAAGTACATACCTGAGGATCAATCCAATGCACATAAATATTTGACCAGTATGATTTGACTTAAAAATAATATTTAATATTTAAATTTTTCGTTACATAAAAATCGATGAATATGGCAATATACAGAAAATGAGGTTTACATTTTTTGAATATCAATATATAAGCTTCCTTCTTTAAAATGATTCTGAAAAGTTGCAAACTATTTACCTTGAAACGGAATGATTAGTGGCAGTATTTTTAATTTTAAAGCGCCACTATAGTACATATTATTTAAAAAGAAATCTTTGGTTCTCATAAGACAACTACTGTACCCATGAAGCGGGTACCCACAAAGGTTCATTTTCCACTCTGTTAACAGCAGCTAATAGTTTACTAAAGGCCCCAAGTAGATCATCGTTAACAATAGTTTCATCAAAAAAGTGTTCGTAGAGAAACTCAATCTTCTCCGAATGTTTGATCATGTCTTGGAACTCTTCTTCTGTGAATCCCCTGGAATTATGCACATCAAAGGTACTACGGGCATGATTAGCCACTCTAGTTTCCTTTAGAACATCCAAACTGGGTGGACTAATGTAGATTATATAAGGCTTGAGCTGAGGTGTCCTGAGCATTTTTAATGCCTGATAATGAGGATTTAAAATACAGACTTGGCCCGAATTCACTATTGCTTTCACACTATCTGCGCTAGTGCCATATAAATTGCCTTTATATTCACCAAATTCGATGAACTTTCCCTTTTCTATGTCAGCCTCCATTCGTTCTCGTGTAACAAAGAAATACTCTTTACCGTCTACTTCTCCAGGCTTCATAGATCTACTTGTAACTGAAAATATATTTTTTGTGAAACTTTATTGACGTTTTAACAATCACTTACAAGGTGTGGGAGTCCTAAACTTCCCAGGATCTGTATCAATGAGCCGACGTTTAAGCTCATTGCGACCAACCCCAGGAGGCCCAATCAACACTATAGGTCTATACACGCCAGGTCTAGGATATAACTTGGCCACCTCCTCATAGGTCGCAATCAATTCCCGGTCAAAATCGTCATTTTCGGCTGTATCATAAATGATTTTTTTAGTTTTATTTTTATTCTCGGCCACTACAAGACAGCGTGTCGGTTTTGGACTACAGGTTAAGCCATCTTCATCAGCCATTACTGGATCGAGACATTGCCCTACACGCAGGCAGGAGTGATTAGATTGTTTTTTCGATTACCACTTAGATCAATCAAAACACTACACAACTTTCTAAGCAAAACAAAACTAAGTTTAAGAAGAAAGTCGTATTGAATTTTACAATAATTATAAAAGTAAATAAATGGGTATTGCAAATATGTACGATCAAAAAGTCACTTGCATATTATATGATTAAGTCAAGCAAATACAAAAAATGAAAATAATGTCTTTTGGTGTAAGGGTATAAGGATGATTACAAAAAGCATAAAATTAATGTTCGCAATAGTATGTACATTTTTAATAATTCAACATGCATAGGTAAAAAAACAAAAAAGTCACCATTTTCATCCTCATTCTGAGCCTGTCTCTCATGTATAATCCGTTTTTCTTGCAGCGCTCGACTGGGTATAAGTCCGGCCCTCATATGCTTATCACCTTCTTTTCTGGCTTGCCACCAATATTGATCGTCCTGACAAACTATATGCAACACGTCCCCCTTCTTAAAGTCCAATCCTGCCTCTTTACAAGGAATATACGGATCCAAGGAACTGTCGTACTCGAAATGAGCTCGCACTCTAACTTTACTTTCTCTAATGTTCATTTTGCATTCTGCAGGGACAAGTTTGAAGGTAATGGTACCTTCAGAATTTTGCTAAAATATCATAATTCTTCAATTATTTGCATCTATGTGAAAAAGTTTTTGGAGTTTTGCCAAATGCAATCGCACAAAAAAATTTGAGGTAAACTTTCTTTTAGTTGAAACCAGATATGTATATTATTAACAGAAAAAACTAATGTATTTATGCATTTATGAATCTTTTGATGTGTAGTAGTCCAGGAAAAATGTCGATTTTCAAAAAAAAAATCCTACCCAAAAGAACTTTTCAGGGATGATAGGGGGCGGGTGGGTGATCATAAAACTGAAAATATCAAACATTCACCCCTCTGGCGTTTTGCGCTATAGGGGTTGAAAGTGCGCCATTGGCGATTACTTGGTACCTATTGATTTTACAAAAAAATGTTTCAAATAAAAGATGTGCAACATTATTTGATCTACAATGTTTATCTAAAGATTTTTTTGATTAAGGGCCATATTATGTGGTCATAAGGGCCGTTTGAAATTTTATAATGAAAATGAAAAATTTTAACCAACGTGAAAAAATGTTCTACAACTCATACAACATTTTTGCTTTATGAAGTTTTTACTCACCCCTTGCCGTTTTTCAATAGGGGTAGTTTAAAGTTTTTTTATTTTTTTACAAGTTTATGAGTTCACATTTTCTACAATTTTTCCTAATCAACTTTTTTTGTAACTCACCCCCATTCAGCGGGGGGACACTTCCCTAGGGGAAATTTTAGTTTTTAGGGGTATATATTAATTTTTTTTTTCTTTTCTCGCCTTTAGTGCATATAAAAAGTTGCAATTAACATTGTATTAAAAGAATTTTTTTTTCACCACCTTTTTGTTTTTAGGGGTAGTTCGCCTATTTTCAACTTTACAAAAAAAAATTATTAAGAAAACTTGTTCATTTTATTATTTTGAGCAACTTTTCTCTATAACTTTTTTTTGTAAAATTGAAAATAGGCGAACTACCCCTAAAAACTAAAATTTCCCTAAGGGAAGTGTCCCCCTGCTGAATGGGGGCGAGTTACAAAAAAAGTTGATTGGGAAAAATTGTAGGAAATGTAATCTTATAAAACTTTTATGAGGAAATTTTTTTTGTGAAAAAATAAATAAACTTTAAATTACCCCTATTGAAAAACGGCAGGGGGTGAGTAAAAACTTCATAAAGCAAAAATGTTGTATGTGTTGTAGAAAAATTTTTCATGTTGGTTAAAAAAATTTATTTTCATTATAAAATTTCAAACGGCCCTTATGACCACAGGCGGCCCTTAATCAAAAAAGTCTTTAGATAAACATTGTAGATCAAATAATGTGGCACATCTTTTATTTGAAACATTTTTTTGTAAAATCAATAGGTACCAAGTAATGGCCAATGGCGCACTTTCAACCCCTATAGCGCAAAACGCCAGAGGGGTGAATGTTTGATATTTTCGGTTTTATGATCACCCATCCGCCCCCTATCATCCCTGAAAAGTTCATTTGGGTAGGAATTTTTTTTTTGCAATACATGTATTTTTCGACTATTTTCCTAGACTATAGATAAAATCGCCAGTTTTATCTTAATGATTTGTTTGTTTATTTTATACAAGTCTGGCAAGTCAACATCTTAAGGGCAGTGTTGCCAATGTGTGAGCATTTGCTCACATTTGTGAGCATTTTATAGATCTGGGGGTAAAAATGGGAGCATTGGCAAGATGTGAGCATTTTGTGGGCATTGTCAGTTTGTATGTGTTGTTTTTGCATAAAATTTTTACGAACGTAATATCATGTCCCCAATTATTAAATTTAAATAATTTACAGACACCACCTAGGTCACTGCGATGCTCAGATTTATTTTACTGTAACTTTTATAATACAAACTATGCTGTGAATTCCCCAATATCTCAAATGCAAAAAACATACAACTCATATTTTAGCCACATAGATATTTATTACCTTAGGATAAGAACCGTAAAAACATTAGCAATCAATGTATTTTTGTGAAAATGGAAATAATCTCACAGGCATTCTTTTTTCTCATTTATTTAGTTTTTCCTCTATCTCTATAGAGAGAGAGAGACGAATTGAAATCACTTTTGTTTTGTTTCTTTTTTTTTTTAGCTAATAATAACGGGAACATTAGTTTTAGGCTTAAGAACGATGTATACTGCATATACCTCTATCTATTATAGATCATTACATTTTAGTGTACTCTGTAAGTTGTAATGTTTAAGTACATTATGTAGAGCGCAATAAACAAAATAAATAAAAATAAATAAATTGTCAAGAGGCCATTTTAGAAACGCTGATTCCATCCAAGGATGATACACACTCGCTGCTACACGATGGCCTATTCTCATAAGGCCTGTATGTAACAAATCCCCCACACCAAAATACCAGTTGTGACGTAGACAGAATGTCATTTCTTGCAATTCTTGCCTTGACGTAGGCTGTTTAAACAGCTGACGACTTAGTTATGACCTCGGAAATAGAAGCACACCAATATGCGGCGGGGATTACAAAAACGAGACTGATAAGCATTCCTTATGCTCCATTCTCACTTGCGCGAAATTCGCTCTTTTTTGACATTGCATCGACAAATTGAAGTTTGATACACGCATAAAACGTCAAATTGTCGAAATATCCCCTCGTTTTTATTTTAATCGGTGACTTCACCGATGAATTAGCTATCTTTGTTTAGTGAATGGAAAATGACAATGACCGACATAGAATGGTGGATCCATCGGTAAAATTTGATGAGAATAGAAACGCAGGGAATATCAAAAAAGAGCGAATTTCGCGCAACTCAGAATGAGGCATTAGAGTGTATATTGTGTATTCTCCTTGGATTGCAACAGCCGATCACCAGCTGTTTGTTATTTATCCTTTTCTAATGAACACGATTGAAAAAAGACAATGTACATCAGCCTGGTGATCCCGTAGTCAAATGTCAAATGTCATATTTAATACTGGAAAACTCCAAAACTATTGACATTTTGACATTGACGTTATTTTCAGTACATGTGAGCATAATGTGAGCGTTTACACTACAAATGAGGAGCATTTTGATAACTTCCTGTTGGCAACACTGCTTAAGGGCCAATTTTGATGCAATAGAATAAAATGCCTAGAAAAAGTCTAATAAATAATAAAGTGCACTTTACCGCATAGTGTGCGGTAAAGTGGACTACAAAGTGTGCGGTAAAGTGCACTTTACCGCATAGTGTGCGGTAAAGTAAAATTTAATATTTTTAATCAGAAATCCTCTCTTTTTCAGAAAATGGATTTTTGATCATTTCTATTGAAGGGTGCAGGGAATAAAGCGGCTAAGTCAAATTTTGTCGAAATCCAGTCAACCGCTCCATCTGGTGGAACAAAATATGATCTTTATGACTATGCATGCATTTTATTAAAGTTCCGTTTCCCATTCGGGGTCATTCTTACTTAGAATGCGATAAAAACTTTGGGTTGGTGAATCAGAAAACCAAGGTTGAGCATCCTAAGGAATGGATTGCAGCTTTTGAATCTGCTAGATGCAAGCCGAGTCCGTATGACATTGTGGACGGTAAAGAGCACTATTTTCGAGAATAGACGAAACCCCTAGACAAAATATACAAAAAAAAACTCCCATTCAGTCGCGTCCCTTTAAGGAGATCAAAGTTGAAAAGGAGCATCCTCGACTATTATTCTATCGCACTTCATATGACAGCGCATGGGAAACTTGTGTCATTACCGCCCCTAAACCGCGACAAAATTCAACAATGAATCATAAGGAATTTGAACTTCCGAATTATTCTTATACAGGTGGTATTTTGTCCGATCAACCTTCATATTATTGTTAATGCTTTCAAAATTTTCAGAATTAATACCAATTTCCAAAGAAAAATATCAAGACCTTCAACATCTAGCCCAGTTTTGCGGACACGAGGCAGCGAAGTATTACGCGTCAATACCTCATAAGTGAAAGAAGTGTTGTGTGTTTCTTACTTAATAAAATATATCCATAAAACTGTTCCACTGATAATCAATCCATGAAATCATAGACCGATGTTTGTCTTGACGCTCGGACTAAGTCGCTTTATTCCGTGTTTTTTTTGTAGATGCTAAGCAGTTTTGCCAACTGTCCATTATAGGCACATGTGGCCAAGTTTTTCTTAATAAATTATAAAAATATGGAAAATTTCATTAAGCTTTCATGACCGCAGACTTTCAAGTAAATTTTTAATTCCTAATGACGCCGTTCTGAATATTGAATAAGGTTTTTCTCAACTATACAGATTTTGACTTGTCTCTTTTATTCCCTGTACCCTTCCTAATCTAATTTCATTAATTAATCTGATTCAATATTTAATTTTATCAATGCCTTTTTTTAGAGATGTAGATGCTCATAGGTAAAATTTTGTACCTAACACATGCGGAAAGTGCCTTTACCGCCCTTAACGGCTTGACCGAACTTCGCTCCGCGTCGTTCGGTCAACTGCCATTGCGTGCGGTAAAGTATCACTTTCCGCATTTGTTAGGTAAATAACTATTAATCACTTACCCGCCCATCTTCTAGGAACATATCATCTATAAATTATAAAAGTGTTCAGACAATCACTGATCAGTAAGGCCTACTACGATCTAGGTGCATTTTACGCGGATACATTGTAACTTGTCTTTACTGTTTGTCCACAAGTTTTTTTTTTAGAGTGTATTTTTTATATAGGTATTTGTTTTGTTGGATCAGGAATCATCATTTTTGACAATAGTACAATTATTGTGCTAGTTCAGGTTTCATTTTTCATATTTTTGTTTTTTTATTTTTATTTATTTTTTGTGTTCATTAGTTTATTTGTAGGTATTTTTTAGATCTTATAACATAGGAATGACTTTTATAATAACTTTTAGATTTTAGTTCTAGTCAACGAATATTAAGTTATTTTCTTGCGGCAATAAAGCACATTTTGATTTGATTTGATTTTATTGATTTCCCCTGTGCCACCTCATGGAGCGCTGGGAATGCTGGAGGTGGAACAGAGGAAATAGTTTCTGTTCTGTATTTAACACTTTTTCTAGAGATTTCAATCTATTGCATTGAAATTGGCCTGCACTGGGACTATGGACTATGTAACGGATAGAAATCATTATCTCTATCGTAATGGCACTTGGTGTCTTCTTCTCTTTTTTCGAAATCAATTGAGAGGGGACGTCAATAGAGATAGAGACAATAGCTCTATTCGTTACATAGTCCCTTTGCTGGATCCTTATTCTTGAAACAAGGGAGCAGCGTTCCCAGGAAAACGAGTGTTCCGTCTTTGTTAATTTGTGTATTATCATTTGCAAATCTATTCATGTAAAATCTAGAATACACGCGATAATCCCATGCCAGAGAAAAAGCAGACTTTTTCTGGAATTTTGGCATGTATTCTGGATACCTTGGCGAAAGCGCATTGTGAATTGTAATAATATCATTGAAAAGACGAAATACTTTGTTCTCCTGGAAACGTTACTCTCCTGTTTCAAGAATAAGGACCCTGTAAGATGTTCACTCGCCAGACCGGTATAGATTCTACCTAATTGAAATTTTATCAAAAAAGGTTTGTTACAACACAGCCAAAAACGGTACAATATATACCGTCACGATTCTGCGCAAAGCCTGAAATTTGTGCGTAGAATCCGAAATCCGTATACAGAGTGGTTTTGAAACCGTTCATGGGACGATTTTTGACGTGTCGGAACACACCTAATACAAGGAGGACATTTTTTCCTAGATCAACCTATGTAACTAAGTTGGTTTTTCAAGGTTTTAACTAAATGAAAGCTAAGTTAATATTCGCTTCTGAGTTCAAAATAAAAACAAATAAAATAGTCTTACTAAAATCTCTAAAACATCATTAGGTTGCTTTCCTTCAACATTAATGGCATTCACTTCAACTACCTCGTCCCCAACATGAATTAGACCAGATCTATCTGCAGCTCCTCCATGCATAACTCTTGCTATTACAATTTTTCCTGTTTGCTCGTCGGTTTTTATTGTTGCACCCTTTAGGAGAGGAAAAAAATAAAATGATTTCAAATTTGAATAATCCAATTACTTGAAGCCTATCCTAAGTGGGCAGAGACAAACTACCTCAGCAAATAATATATTATAGTTTCAATACACAAAATTAAACTACATAGGTATTTGGTTCACGAAAGGGTAATATTTTTAACAAATATTGCATGCCTAGTATGCACTGACAAAGTCGAAAAGTATAGGTTGAGAATATTTTCTTAACCATCTGATTGGTTATTGCTGTTCAAACACTTCCTATTGATGCCTGCCAAGGCAACTGTCCATTTACAAAATGTCAAGCAGGGCTTATCACTTATTATTGTCTATGAATAGACACAATTTGTAGTCCAAAGGTACAGGTGAAATTTGATAGGCAAAGGTGATAAATTTACTTCTACCTTTGGACTACAGATTGTAAATAGGATGTACAGTGTCATTACTTAAGTGTGTAACATATGGGATTTTTTTTTAGTAATAGTTCAATCAAAATACAAACAAGGCCAAAAGTTGGTGCATGTCTGATAATCATATTAGGTGCACTTAGAATGGTTGCATGTCAAACAGCATACAGGGTAGCTCAAAAAATATCAAAATTGTAGTAATATTTACTTAAATAAAATAAAACTTTTGCACTTTAAGGAAAGTTTTTTTAATATGGCTATTATCATTAGTAATGTTTTAACTTGTTAAAAAAAAAAATTGCGACATTTTAAAGTTGTGTTGGATATCATTGCAACAAACATGAATTTTGTGATTCCATAAAAAATTAAAAATTGAAGTTAATTTTACAAATATGCTTGAATTTGAACAAAGTTATGTAAAATTGATTTGATTTTGATTAATTTTTGAAAGTTTTAAGGGCGGAAATAAAAAATAAAAAAAATACATATAGAAATTATAAATTTTTTTCGAAAGAAAATAAAAAAAATCTTAGGAGGCTATGTTTTGGTATTTAGGCATAACTTTTAATTCCAAACAACTTTTCTCAATAACATTTTGCTGAATTTTCTGAAATAAGGGTACTTTACACTACAGCTTTGATATTGTTTGAGCTACCCTGTATGCTGTTTGACTTGCAACCATTTTAAGTGCACCTAATATGATTATCAGACATGCACCAACTTTTGGCCTTGTTTGTATTTGGGTTGTGCTATTAGTAAAAAAAATCCCCATATGTTGCACACTTAAAAAATCACACTGTATATGAATATTGGTCATACAGTAAAGAAAATCAGAGATGAATTTATAAAATAGAATATTGACAAGGAATAAGCGATACATGGTGCAAATCAAATGAAAAATGCATAAAACATTGCCAAAAATATTGGGAAAAAGTGTGTGAAATAAGCAGTAGGATATTTTTTTTAAAGTTATTTGAGTGGCAACATACTTACAACGATTGGTTCAGCGCTTTGTATACCAGGCTTGGCAAAAAAGAAAAAGTTTTTGCAAAATTAACAATTTAAGCAAATCTTATTAGATTTTTTTGTGTTATTTATATTGAAGTGTTCAACTTAAAAACTAACAAAATTATGTACTCACAAGTGGCTCATTGCTTTTAACTAATTGGACAATTTTGATAGTAAGTTCACTTTCATCGTCCTCCTCAACAGGAATGTCAGGTAGATGGGGGTAATAATCTTTTTGGGCTACAGCATCATGAGCACACAACAGTCCCTACATGACCATAGGCACAAAATTAATAGAGGTTTTATAAATGAACACTTATGTTGAGTGAATACCTGTAAGTGAGGCTTTTGTAACATAAAAAACAGTTCCTGACAATCCGGGCTTCTTCTTGGTTTCTGTAAAATCAATTCCAATACGTCTGCAAGCACTTGCATTCCATCAGAAAGAGCTGGTACTGGGAAAAATCTTTAAAATATTAAATTTATATCTAAGCAAAATGATATTCGAGCATCTAAACAAACCTCTTTTTATCAACATTGCTTATTATTTTATTATGAATATTCACTAAAGCATTTAGCTCTTTAGATTGTAGCAACTCATTGAGAAATGTAAGCTCTTCATTGGTGCTGGGAAGATTTGAAGCTTTTTGCAGGTTGAAACAGAGTTCGGTTAGAACTAGAAAAAACACAAAAAGAAAAATATGGTATCAACTTTTAAGAAATATTTTTCTATTATTGTGCTCCTACCTGGATCAAGTTTTTTTTTCCCATTACTCATTACTTCTGATGTCATTTTGGAGACTCTACAAACAACAAAGATTACCTAATAGGAAATTGACCATACCTATTTTTACTATTCACTGAAACTTTTTACCTTACTTATCACTCTCACACAGTGATTATTTTTTGATGCAAATCAGTTTCAGATAAACATTTTCAAACTTTGCGGTAAAGGGTCAAATAGGTACGAAAAAAAAGGAGGAAGGTAAAAGACAATAATACTTCGTACAATATACATACACACTATGATTATGGAAATAGATGGTGCACTCTGTTACTGAAATTAAAGCTAGAACGACAAATTTTCTTTCTAGTAATTCACCTACAATAGGTAGGTACTTAATACTAGTTCAAAAGGTGAATAACCTGAATTATGCAGAATTTTCAATAAATTTTCACTGTAAAAATGCTGATCCAGAAAATTGATTTATTGAAAACTGTCAACGCAAACCTACTTATTTGTTTCAAATTGTTTCTATTTTTCATGCCGTTTTTGGGTCTGGGGTCAGCAAATTTTCATGGAAAACTGTGGTGGAAAGTAGAAGCATCGGCGCTATCCAGAGTTTCCACTTCTCATTTGGAAATTGAAGTATTGGGAAATTGACAGTGCCATGACTGCTGACTAGTGTTGCTGATTGCTGACCATAGAGTTGCTGACTGATGAGTGATGCTAGCTCCTTGTAGCCAGCTCCTTGCCGCAAATAATATCCGCGAACGTAGTCGAAAAGTCGAAAGTGTGAAGCCAGCAAGAAAGGCATCAGGGTCAGTGTTGCCAACCCTTTAGAATAACATTTCCCACTCAAATGTGTAAAAATTCCCAAATTTTCCCATAATGCACAATAAAAATTCCCCGGAAAATTCCCACCAGGATTCTGTTATCATTTATGGTTACCAGAGCCGGATTCCGATTTCCGAACCAACAATTCGATAGTATCGTCCATAATATAAAATAGATAGACGATACTATCGAATCGTGGGTTCGAAATCCGGACCCCAGGGCTGCGTTCAGGAATGTTCGGCTCCAACCTACGTGGTTCAGCATTTACAGGTGGTGGGGGAAAAGTAGGTTTTGGCATTAGCATTGCCGTCCTTGAACGCACCCCGGGTCTGTTCCAATAACACGCCAAAAACCGCCCCATGAACGGTTTGGAAACCACTATACGAATTTCGGATTCTACCTCTCTAATCTAAGGATTCTACGCATAAATTTAAGACTTTGCGCAGAATCGTGACGGTACATAGTACGGTTTCCTGCTGTGTTTAAACAAAATAGACAAAGCTCATATTGGCTGTGTCTGTAAGGCAAGTACCTATAACATAACTGGATAGGATATGATTTTTGGGAAAGCTAAAACATGACAATGCTGCAAGAGACTGACCATTTTCATTAAAAAAAAATCATTTTTTATTTTTATATATCACAAAAATACTCAAAATTCCCCATCAAAACGTATATTTTTCAATTTTATTCCCTTGAGTTAACACAATTTCCCATGAAAACATATATTTTCAATATTTTTCCCATTTCAAATATTTTCGTCCAAAAATTTCCACGACAAAGGGAAATTTCCCACGAGTTGGCATCACTGATCAGGATTGTGTGTGATGTAGAAATGTACAATATGAGTCCAGGACCGGATCTTCGATTTGAAATTTTTATGGTAGTTAGAGAGTCCATAGTACTACTCAACCCACCCCTCAACATTGAGGGACAGACGAAACTTTCGCGGTAAAAAATTATTTAGGGCGAGAACCCAGGGGCGTAATTGACGTAAGCGTAACTAATCATGTGATGAATTTGTACGATTTCATTTCATTTTTTCATCATCAGGGACAAACGAAACTTTCGCGGTAAAAAATTATTTACTGTCCAGGGAGCTGGGTACTATCTCGGTCCAGGACCGGATTTTCATTATGAAATTTTTATGGTAGATAGAGGGTCCATAGTACTACTCAACCCACCCCTCAACATTGAGGGACAGACGAAACTTTCGCGGTAAAAAATTATTTAGGGCGAGAACCCACGGGCGTAATTGACGTAAGCATAACTAATCATGTGATGAATTTGTACGATTTCATTGGCGGCAATGCAGCCATCTTGGATTTTTGACATTACGCTGCCGCTACGGCAAAAAGTTGGGTTTTGTTTAGTCGAACGTATTAAAGAGCAAGGTGAGGCGCGGCCAATGAAGAAATGCCGCGGCTCCCGAATGCTTATCCCGATCACAAATTGGCACATGTGTTTTTGCGGATATTTTGGGAAGCGATGCCATATTGAAAACCTAAATTTTACCGCCTTTTGGAAATATAGGAAGTGCGCATGCTCGCTTCTCGAGTTTCATCTCGAGCTTATGGATATGAAGTTAATTCTTTTCACTCTAACTCTACTTGGCTGTACTCGAACGATGAGGAGCTTGCACTATATTTGTTCCCAGTGGCCTGACCCGAACGATTTTGCAGTGAAAGGTGTCAAAGGAGTCGAAAGAGTTGCCAGCTGAGCTCACTTATGATAGAACAATCACAGAAAATCAAAGAAAAAGGACTACAACAACAAATAAGTAAATTTTGATTACAAACTGGCAAAAAATAAACAAGATATTTGTGTAAGAAAATGTTTTTGTTTTGGTTTTGATGCACTACATGCGGGATGTTACGCTAAAATTGGCGTAGGGTTGACGATCATGCCGATTACGCTAATTACGCCCGTGGGAATTCGCCCTTACTGTCCAAGGAACTAGGTCTCAGTCCAGCTATAATGATTCACACCGGTTAAGTTTTTTACAAATATCTAATAGAAAAATTTATATTTCTGTAATTTGTGGTTTAATTTTTATTGCATTTCTTTTTTAACTCCACCCGTGCGTCATCACTATTGAGAACACCATGAGCGACACCGTTGATAACGTCGCCAACGGTGCAAAACCATATGAACTTGATTTCAAAAATCGAGGCAGATGAGCAATCCTGTAGATGTGTGTTATATCCTTGGTGTAGCCTAGGAACTCTCTGGCTTACCCGAGTTCAAATAAGCGCACTTTTCATCGCTCCGTTTTTCAGAGTGTTATAGTATATTACATGCGGAGGTGGAAAGTGTTTCATTATTGTCGAGAATTTTCCACCGAAATATGTATCACTCTGACACCGACATTGACATCTTAAATATGTATCACTCTGACACCGACACATAGAACATTGACATCTTATCAAATTTCAACTATAGCCGCTTTCCAAGGTGCGTACGATAAGTCCCAACTACTGACACTTTTAACCCTGACCCGTCATTAATGTCGCACTTTTTACACCATTCGTACCGTTCAGCGTTCCATTTTCCCAGTAAGTTTAGATGATTGCGTTCCAAAACATAACTGCACCGCACTAACGCTAACCGGTTCAGACAAATCGTACGCACCACCAGCTGACCATTTTGAACACGCAATCGAGCTTTTGCGCGCGCAAAGCAAATGCTTCAAGCACGTGTTCGTGTTCCAGCCGTACCGCGCTTCGAGAGCTGCTAACTTTTGCGTTTCAAGCACAGAACACTGTGCTGCACCGTGCTTGAAGCACAAACACATGTCAGCTGGAAAGCGGCTAATATAAACACATGTGACCAATGAAATGTGACATCTACTTCTAAATACAAACATTGCACCTGGGCCCGGATTTGAGTTTAGGTGTGAAAGAACAATTTATCATGCCGAAAGTGAGTTCTTCAGGCCGAAAGTGACACAAGAACTGCCACTTTCTGCCTGCTTTAAAAGCCGTTTTCCAGCTGTGTGATTCAAGCACGGTGCAGCACAGTGATCTGTGTTTGAAACGCAAAAGTTAGCAGCTCTCGAAGCGCAGTACGGCTGGAACACGAACACGCGCTTGAAGCATTTGCGTGCGCAAAAGCTCAATTGCGTGCTCAAAAGCCTCAGCTGGAAAGCGGCTAGTAAACAAAAATAAAGTGACATTTTCGAACCTTCAAACCAGTAAGAAATGTGGAAATTATAAGTTGTATTCCTTTCAAGAATGTCAAACACTCGAGTTACTCGCTCCGGTGTTAGTCGCCCCCGATTTTGTAAGGAACAGATGCGTAGTGCATCAAACACTTTTCGAAAGGAATAAGCGCGTGAAGCCCCGGAGCTGTTCTGGAGCTCCTCCTAAGCCGCTTTCCAGTATGGGAGTAGCCGCTTTCCAGTATGCACATTGGCGCGCTCTGGCGCGCTCCAGAGCACCTCGGGGGCGCCACGCACTAGATTTGTACCGTTCCAGTATCATGACGTGAGACGCCCGTCTTAGTGTCAAATATGTCAAATTTTAAAACTAATTATCTGTTTGTTTGTGCAGTTTATTTTTTTATTTATCGTAAATGAAAGAGAATCAAAACTATATTTCTTAAAATGCTCAATCTTGAGATATAACAAGAAATAAATAAATAAATAGCCACCCACGGATGTGACAGCTGACAGGTTGACGCGTACGTGTAGCTCGGGGGCTCAACGGCCCGAGTAGCTCCGGGCGTCAAACTCCCATACTGGGCCAAGTTCAGAAATAACGCACAGGGTGCGAGTGCGATTTTATGGGTGTGCCTGAATTGACAATTGGCCATTGGGCCCATAGCACCGTCTAGTATTTTTGAACAAATAGGGCGTCGCACCGGTGTCACACTCACACTGGGTGTGTCATTCCTGAACTCGCCCCTGGAAAGCGGCTAGTGTGACGCTCGGAGCTACTCAGTGCGTTGAGCTCCCGAGCTGTACGTACGCGTCAACCTGTCAGCTGTCACATCCGTGGGTGGCTATTTATTTATTTATTTCTTGTTATATCTCGGGATTGAACATTTTCAAAATATAGTTTTGATTCTCTTTCATTTTTGATAAATAAAAAAACAAACTGCACACACAAACAGACAATTATTTTTAAAATTTGACATATTTGACACAAAGGCGTTTTCTCGCGGGGCGAATGGTTCGAACTACGGTTTAAACCAATTTCTAGATGACGTCATTACTTGTGACCGCGAGAAAATGAAAGGTTTGAACCACAGTTTTATGTCAACGGAGAACAAGCCATGAGCCGGTTCGAACTTTTTTGAACCAGGTTCAATGTGACGTCACTGGTTCAAGAATGTATAGGTTCGAACCTAATTGAACCGGGTCGAACCAGGGGTGCGATTTTCGAAACCATTCGAGTACATTTCGTACACGAAATTTGACTGCTCCCCATTGAATTTACATTGCTGTCAGTCAAATTTCGTGTACGAAATGTACTCAAATAGTTTCTAAAATCGCACCCCAGTTCCACCGCGAGAAAACAGCTTTGGACAGGCGTCTAACGCCATAATACTGGAACGGTACAAATCTAGTGCGTGGCGCCTCCGAGGTGCTCTAGAGCGCGCCAATGTGCATACTGGAAAGCAGCTCTGGTTGTGAAAGGAATACAACTATATATAATAATATATGGTTTAAAATAAAATTTATCATGACACGACCAAACAGCAAACGGCCTAATTTATGAAATCTTGAAACCGAAAAATACCGGTAAGAAACGATTTATTTATATCGGTTCCGGTTCTGCTTGCCTTGCAACATTTCTATGAAATATGAGCTTCGCTCCGGTTCCGGTCTGCAAAAACAGAATGGTTCCGTTCCGGTTCAATATCGTTCAGGGGTGCGATTTTCGAAATCATTGGAGTACATTTCGTACACGAAATTTGACTGACAGCAATGTAAATTAAATGGGGAGCAGACAAATTTCGTGTACGAAATGTACTCGAATGGTCTCGAAAATCGCACCCCAGGGTAAACTAGACACTGATTTTGTTCGACCATTCTTACACTGGGTCAATCGGGTTTTGTTAGAGCGCTACACCGGCTGTTCTGAATAAAAAGGGGTGATATGTCAGTCAGATATGTCGTAAATGGCTGACTGACATCTCATCTGACATCTTTTCCTTTTCATCATGTTTGTAAATTTAACAAACAAAAATTGAGATTTCTTTTTAGATAGAAGAATAATTATGTTTTTTTAAACACAAATTCCTTTAATAATTCTGCTAAGGTTCCTGAAAAGTAGTCGGTAAGTTATTTATATTATTGTCAGTAGTTAATAGGCATTTTAACAAATATCGATTTCGATGTTTTTGTTTTTAACAATACGAAAAAAGTTGACTACATGCTTTGGCTAATAAAATGCAAAATTTAGTCCTAACAAGACTCTATAATCCTATGTCCTTTACTTTACTACAGATATATTTCAGCTCTGTTGTCTAATGTAATATATGATCAGGAAAATAGTAGAAAATGTGGAACATTGTCAATCATTCCTTATCCTTGAACAACAAGGAAAATAAAACCTCCGATGATAGTCTTATAACACTGGGAATGACATCGGCCATATCGGCAGCACCCCCAAAACAAATCGATTTACAGAAAACCAAAGAATTGGAAGAGGCACTGAATGGCTACGACGTATTTGAAAGCGAACAAGAACTAAACCACAGGATGTTGATTTTGGGTAAATTGTATTCGCTTGTTAAACAATGGGTTAAAGAATTATCAATTAAGTGCAATATGCCAGAAAACGTCGCGGAGAATGTTGGAGGCAAAGTATATACTTTTGGAAGTTTTAGATTAGGGGTAAGTGGTATAAATGTGATTTTATTGTGCAAATTTATAAATTAAATCATTATTTCAGGTTCACAGTAAAGGGGCGGATATTGATGCTTTATGTGTAGTTCCTAAACACATTGGTAGAAATGAATTTTTTGGTTCTTTTTATCAAATTTTGAAACAGCAACCTGAAGTTACTGAACTAAGGGTAAATTATTCAAATATTTACAAGTAAAATCTTTAAAATCAAATTTTAGGCAGTGGAAGAAGCCTTCGTACCAGTAATTAAAATGAATTTTGATGGGATAGAAATAGACATGTTGTTTGCAAGGTTGGCACAAAAAGAAATTCCAGACTCTATGGACTTGAAAGATGACAATTTGTTAAAAAATCTTGATCAAAAGTGTGTGCGTAGTTTGAATGGGTGCAGAGTCACTGATGAAATTTTACGATTAGTTCCAAATGTTGATAGCTTCAGGTTAACTTTAAGAGCCATTAAACTTTGGGCTAAAAGTAAGACAATTTAATTGAAAAAAGTATTTTTCTAGTATTCATTTTTTAGGGCATGGCATTTATAGTAATGTGTTGGGATATTTAGGAGGTGTTTCCTGGGCTATGTTAGTAGCCAGGACTTGTCAGTTGTATCCCAATGCTGCTCCAGCAACTTTAGTACATAAATTTTTCCTAATATTTTCTAAATGGCAGTGGCCACAACCTGTTTTACTTAAGCAACCTTCCAGTGTTAGCTTGGGATTCACTACTTGGGACCCAAGGGTAATACAAGCATTTACCAGTTTACAATAATTTTTCAAAAATAATCTTATTCTTAGGTTAACATAACAGACAGATATCACTTGATGCCAATAATAACTCCAGCATATCCTCAACAAAATTCCACTTTCAACGTTTCACTATCCACAAGAGCCATCGTCATGGAGGAATTCAAATTGGGGCTTCAAATTACAGACGAAATTATGTTGTGTAGGGCTACTTGGGAGAAGTTATTTGAGCCGCCGCAATTTTTTATGAAATATCGCCATTTTATTGTTTTAATGGTCAGCGCCTCGAATCCAAAAGAACATTTGGCATGGACTGGTTTGGTGGAAAGTAAAATTAGATTTTTGATCGGTAAGTTTTATACTAAAATACTCTTGTAGGACTGTCAAAAAAATATTTAAATAGCTAATTTTTAATAATTTGTTTAAAGCGCACTTAAACCTTTATTTAAGTAGGTAATTATATGTTGATTCTTTTGTTGCTCCACAAGGCACAATTTTGTTTAGACACCTCTTGTTAGACTCTGAGACTCTATAAGCAAACTCAAAGTCAATTCTGCGTAATAACAAATATAGAGTCCGCGTCAGCAGTAATGAGTACAGTGCCGACACAGAAAGTTGCGCGAAGCGGGTCCGATCTCTCTCCCTCGTCTCCCCCCAGCTCGACGTCACCGTACTCTTCACTCTTGACGCGGACTCTACCTAGATACTATTGTAGTAGTTGGTTTCAATTTAGGGTCATAGTTTAAATAGTAATTTATAAAACATGAATATAAAGTGCCATTTTTTTGCATCTATGAGGAATTTTTAGAACGAGCAGTACCTAGTTGAAAGAATGAACCATTGACCTATATAAAAAAATAAGTAATAGATGTGATGAAATGTTGCCTGAAAAACTCCTATTTGTATTTTCTGGCTTATCAATTTTTTTATAATCTGGACTATTTGACCAACTTATAAATTTGCCAGGCAAGCTTATTTTGTCGGTAGCAACACAAATTAAATTATACATCTTACCCGGAGTTAAGATTTTCCTAGTCCTATCAGAGTCCTAGCATCTCTATCAGAGGTTCACTAATTTAGCCCTGAATAGAAAACAGCACTGTACATATAAGAGGTATTTTACCTTGAACTTTTCAACAAAAATTATCCAATATACAACAAAATGAATATATCAAGAAACTTTAAAACCTTTTCTTATTTTTCCTCAGGAATTTTAGAACGAAATGACTTTATAAATTTGGCCCATATCAACCCAGAAAACTACTCCCTTCCGGAATCTTTAAAAACAGAAAAAACCATATGTTCCATGTGGTTTATCGGACTGGAATTCAAAAAAATGGATGGCCTAAATGTGGATTTGACCCATGACATTCAATCGTTCACTGAAAATGTTAATAACCACGCTCTCAATATTAATATGTATAGGCCATCAATGGAACTGGAGGCCAGATACGTTAAAAGGAGACAATTGACACAGTACTTACCACCAGGTGTAATAAAGAGGGAACGAAAGAGCAGCATCAGTTGTAATAAAAATGGCCTTGGTACACCGGAATCGAGAAAAAGACAATCCACAGAACCAGCAGACGGCAATGACAGCAACAAAAAGAGCAAATTGAGTTCTGATCATAACTCTACTAGTGTAAGTATTTGATAAATTGGTTTTATTTCAAATCTAGTTCTTATTAATATAATGTTGAAAATTAACTGTTGAATTTAAGGGCCACTTTCTTAGAGATTTCAATTAAATAAATCTTAAAAAATGGTAAGAAAACTAAAAAAGTATAGGTCAGCTAAATATTAAGCCAGGATTATTTATAAGAAAATTTTTGTCTTTTGGCCCTCAATTTTAGTTTGACGATTGTTCCAATACATCAGCACTGACCAATGAAGACTCTTGTAATAGTTTTGATGTCTCAGCAAATGCAGGGACGTCGGTATCTACGACTAGCCCTATTAATATACAGGTAATATTGATTTCAATTAAAAATCAAAAACTAACTCATACTTTAGGGTGCATCACAAAGCGGAACACAACAAGAAGCAGTGTGTACGTGAAAAATGCCACTCTGGCTGCCACGGCTTGTCGTCCATTTTACTAAAAAATAAGGTAGACAACTCCTCATGCTGTGGTTTTCCAATATTTCATATTTTAGATTTGGATGTGCTCTTTGGAAAATCCCCCTTTTCAGGTAAAAAAAAAATGACAGTTTTTGCATCTCATCAATTCATTTACAAAACGCAAACCCAAGTTTTACCTCGCTCCTTTCTCTTTTTTTTTTTTTTTTTGTAAAATATTATCGCAATTAAGTAATGTACTTTGGTGTGATTGACTTTGTGGAGTGTTAGTGTCTTGCATGTATGAGTGCCCATTTATTTTGTACATATAAGTATATATTATTTTTCAAAAAATTAGATAAGGGAGGATTTAAATTTTTGTTTGATTAAGTAATAGATTTTTTATTTTTATAAGTTTTCTTGAAATTCCTCTGGAAAAAGATATACCCATCTACATATAATGAATATTGTAAGAAAAACAACTATTATTTTAAGGTTGCGGTAATATTTTACTATTTTTATTTGTACATGGGCCATTCAGAATGTTCAAAATGAATTTTAAACAGTAGCAATTTAATAGAATGATAATAGGTTTGTTCCAACCCATCAAAAAACCGTCCCAGAATAGTTTCGAAACCACTCTGTAGACGAATTTCGGTTTCTGCGCAAAAATTTTAGGTTTTGCGCCGAATCCTGACAGTAATATTACGGTTTCCTGCTGGGTTCAAACAAAGCTAATATTTATTGTTTTATACCAAGTCCAACCTTTTGAATACATATAATTTTTTTATTTAAAAATCACAAATTCATATTTTATTTTATAATTTATTATTTGTAACTACAATCTATTGGCACTGATTGCTGATTGGTAATTTCTAGCTACATTGTAATGTGTTTTATTTTTCGAACAAATATATTTATTGGGGAAAATATGGCCATTATGCCAGGACTGTTTAAAATTCCGTTTGAAAAGACCTTAAACAAGTTATGTACATACATAATATATTTATTTGTTTTTCAATAATAGGAGGTAATTGTATTGATAAGAAATAAACAATGACGATTATAGGAATATGTTAAGTAGCATTTTCTCAAAATTATGAATCTAGATTCGCCACTGTCTTTGTGTGTTTACACATGTAACTTGATTAATAAATAAAACATATTTTCCCCCAGTTTTTATTGTTTTATTTCAACTAATACTTTAGTCTGAATCTCAGAGGAATCTGAATAATAGAAACTCTTCATTAAGTGAGGGATTGAGAGTAAAAACAATTACAAAATTAATTATACTTTTATTTATTACTTTTACATAAGTAATTTTTGCTCTGTAATACATTTTTAAAGTTCAAGCGTCTATCCTTTGACAAATGAGGATATAACAATACTTTTTTTTTTGCAGAATTAGGTACTTTATTAAGTAAAAAACTAATTAGATAGGTAATTTAATAGGTACTATGAATATTAATGGATTTACAATTAATTATTACATAAAAATAGAAGAAAAATTAATTAATTTTACAACATTTTACTAGAACAGGATTGTTTTAGCAAATATATTATTTGCCACTGGTGAATAGAATATATACACATTAAAATATTTAACTTTAATAATAAGTATTTTTGTGTTTGTTGGTCCTTTTAATTTTATAAAAATCTTTACAAATGAGCAGAATATATTTACAAGACGATTTGAGAATGATAAATTATGTATTTGAAATAGAATCAATGTCTAAAATATTAGTACCAACTTATCCTATACCTACATACATAAAGTAGTAAAATTATTTGAGGTGAAAAACTATTATTCTGAAAATGTTTACGTGAAGGTACCTATGCAAACATTCTAAATTTTATACATTTTCGATTCAATCATTATTATTTATAGTTAGAGTTCTAATAATAATTATTTCACTGTGTAGGTACATAATTATTTACATTATTTCAGTTCTGCTTTTATAGCACAAAAAGTTTAGTCTTACCTACCTATATCTATATGAATCCTAATCTAAGGCATGTTTAACTTTAAATATTTCAAGTTCCAAAATGTATTCAATGAAGGAGCTCATGAGCTTTACACAAATAGTAATTGATTCACATATTCACTATTTTTCTCTCAATTTTTGTCTATTCCAGGGTTTTAAATTTTTACCTTCAAAGTTCTTTATTATTTCCTCTATATTGTTTTAAAAAACTTTATTACAATTTTTTTCTCAATTATATCCACAAACTGGAAGTAAACTATATTTATGTGATCAAAATTGAAACCTGATACACACCCTATGACCCTATATTTATATATTAATAATAAAATAGTATATTATAATTAGAGTGTAGTCAGCTGCAAACATAACTGTTATAATATCAAATAGGCTAATTTTCATTTCCTAAAAGTACCTATTCATAATAATAATTATTATTAAATAAAAACTATTTTTAAACCTACCTATGATAATAATAATATGGTGATTGTCGAGTAGAAAATATGTTTTATAATAACAAATATTAAGATGTGAAGTATGATGGAAGCACTATGATGTATAGGATGTCACAGTTTTATTCTAACTCAAAGAAAACTGTGAAGATATGTATGAAAGATAGGATAAAAATATGTAATGATAATTATTTAGAGATAAAGGTTGTCCGCAATTATTCTAAACTTATAACTATTGTTTTTCTCTGTTGAAATATTTTTATAGTAAAATTTCTTCATAATTATTGATATTTTTTATACAGTTTTATACAAATGTCACAAATGATGAGTTAATAGGAAACATAAAAATAATTTCAAATTGTTTATCACATCTATTTTGTGAGCTCTTATACCTTATCTATTCCTATAAAATATTTTTTTTTACAATGAACAATATATAGGTACAAAACTTGTTATTAAATTCAGTACTGCCAACACAATTATAATTTTCTATTCACTAGGAATATAATCTTGATTAATTCTCTTGAGAAAGGAATGTATAGATTTAAAAGTCGGTCTATCTGTGTCGTCTCGGTACCAACAACTGCACATAAGGTCGTATACATCCGTTGAACAGTTAGGAGGTTTACTAAGTAAAACCTGAAAGAAAAAAATATATGTAATAATATACATTCCTATTTCATAAAAAGTTCTCACTTGTAGTTCCCCGCCATAATACATATGTTCAGCGTTTTGAATTACTTTTTCATTGGATAAGTTGGCAAAAGGTCTTTCACAGCAATAATTTAAAATTTCCCATAAAGTAACTGCAAATGCCCAAACTGTGCTGTAGCAGGAATAACGATCCTAGAATAAAACCAATAATAATTATTAAAAAAAAGCAAGAGTATAGTGAAGAACACAGGACACTTTTCATAAAAAAGTACAATATTAAAAAAATAAACATGTACAGCGCTGGTATACACGTAATAAAAGTGAAACTTCTTAACTTAAATTCCCCCCATACACCTTTTAGACTTAGCGTATGACTCAGGGTAAAGACGAAGGACCACCCAGAAGGAAACGTCACAGAGGGTATCAGTGCTTGATAATAATAGACGATCCTTCTTGCTTATAATCCTTGGTTTGTGTTAATTGTTCGTCGGCTGTCATTGTCATTGGTATCTTTCTACGTCTCTTTACGTTATATGTTATATCTTTTTTTTTTCTCTCGTGTAACGAATTTTGCCAAAACGTGACGCGTCTTCACGCTAAATCAATATAGAGAAATATCGTGCCGTCCCAATTTCAAATAGGTACCATATGTAACGCTATGCTATGACAAAACTAGTTTACGCTCCATTTATGTCTGCAAAAACAGCAACTTCTAATAATTCCTTCATAATATAAAAAACCACCAAGGGAATATTAATCAAATTCAGGAATCTTCAGGATAAATAATAGTATATTATGATATAAGTGTATAAGAGGGCCTTTAAAGCACGCGCGACATAGGTATTTCAAAACACGACGCGCAGCGGAGTGTTTTGTAAGTCGCAAGGGCTTTAAAGGCCTCCTATACACGCATATCATACGCTATTTTATATTAGAAATGCATCATAATCTCAAAAATGTTTTAAATGTGTTCATTCATTTTGATGAATAGTAATTTAAACGGCAGGTGAATATCTAGGAAATGAAGGTAGATCAAACGTTTCTATAGCAAACCTTTGAAAAGGTAGGCGCATCATAAACATCATTTTATGCACGCCGCAGCGTGCGATAATCGTTGATTATGATGCATGCGTAATATAAAAGTTAGAAAACAAGCAAAAAAAAGTTGGGTAAGATCACTACAGACAGATCACTCAAATCAGCTGTCATTGCTGTCAAAATGTAAACAGAATAAGGAATTTAGAGGATTTATGTGTCTTCGTGTTCGAGAATTCTAAAATACCACGTGAAATACCGTATTGTTAGCGGTACCGTATTAGCGTAGCATGTGAGGCACGAGAACTTTCTATTCTCCATTCTCGTCCCTTAATTTAACGGCCGGCGGCCTGCCAAGGACTATAAGTATAAGGAGGATTGCCTATTATTGACAAGCGCCGATAACATTGTGGCGTCATTACAGATGCGCGTCTTCCTTTTGTTATACTATTAGCTCTGTTCTAACCGACATGAGAACCGTTCTAAAACCAGTAATTTTCAGTTATTATACCTAATGTCTGTTTTTTTTTTTAAAGATAATTCCCCAAGTCAAAAATTTAGTAACTAGTTAGCAACGCAAGCCTTTTCCACATAGAAAATTTGAAAGCATTGACAATTTCACATTGTATTGCCAACATAATGTCATTTTGACTTTTATCTTTAAAAAAAAAACAGGCTTTACCTACTTTTCAATAAGTTGTACGTTTATCCTACTTGACAAATGAATTGATCAACTGGAAATTACCGTTCTAGAACGGTTCTCATGTCGGTTGGTACGGTACAGAGCTTTATCACTTAGTTTTGTGATTATTTCCGTTATTTATACATTTTTGTGCTGCGATTTTTTTGATTATATCCATGAACCGTCATTATGTAAGTATATTAAAATGATTTAAATATTATTCAAAATGATATTAGAAACGGATAAAAACAGCTATTGGTTGCCACAAATCAAGGATTATAAGCGCAAGTAGGATTGCCTATTATTATTGTCAAGCGCCGATACCCTTGTGACATCACTACAGATGCGCGTTTCCCTTCGTCTTTACCCCAAGCAGGGGTAGGAGTGCTTATCGGCCTCGTTTTTGGTAATCGCTGCCATATTGGCTTTCAACTGTTTTAAGCCATTGCCAACGTCATAACTAAGTCGTCAGCTGTTTAAACAGCCTACGTCAAGGCGAGAAACGCCATGCTGCTTACGTCACAACTGGTTATTGTTTGGCGCGGGAGGGTAGGAGGGAATTTGTTACACACAGGACACAGGCCTATGAGGATAGGCCATCCTGTAGTAGTAGTGTGTATCATCCTTGTTTACCCCGATTCATATACTAAGGCTAAAAGGTGTATGAGGGGGAGATAGTTTTTAGAAGTTTCACTTTTACCACGTGTACGACGTTGCAAATAATTTTTTTTAAATAAATTATTATAAACCTTAGAGCAGGTAAGACGCTGTCCTACGGACATAAGGAGTAGGAACGCGCCATTCTGCTTATGAAACTAAAGTGAAGCCAAGTTTTTGGCAGGTGTTTGGCACCAAAATACAGCTAAAGCATTGAATTGCCTATACCGCCATTTTTTTGGTGCCAAAGTACCTGAAAAAAAACGGCTTCATTTTCCAACTCCATGTTACTACTCCTCTTTACCTTTACCTGCTCTAAGTTATAAACAAACTCATTCACATACATAACCCAACTTTTTTTGACATCAACATGGAACAACGTTGCCACATTTATTTAGGTTGGCGCATTCAACCGACGTAACTCTATCATTTTGTATTATGAAATATAAAAATTACAATATAATAAAGCTGAAAAGAATAATATTATTTCGAGCTCTTCCAAGGAATTAATTATTAATTTAAAATATAAGAACTAAAATACTGATGATCCCAGTCAAGCAATAATAAAATTTATCCATAATAGGCCTTTTCAGAAACACTGATCCAATGGCAACAAATATCCAGTTAAGTTCCTCAAAATTTTGTAGAGGGCGCGAGTGAACTTGGAGTGTTTTAAATTTTGGCGGTAAATGTCAATAGTTTAAAACTGATTAAACTGAGTAGAAAGAAAGATGACTACATATGAACAATGGACAATGGATAAGTTAAAATATCTTCTAAAGCGTTCAGTGGCCTTTAGAGAATATTTTTAAAAGTGTCAGCGTCAGCTTGTCTTGAAACCACACATCAAACTTCAGTTTTGGGGTTAGAATTACAATCGAATTTTTACGCGCCAAAATTTAAAGAGATCCAAGTACAGAAGCGCCCTCTTCAACTCAACTGTCAATATTACATGCCATTAACCGGATCATCAGCTGATGTACACTCATGAGCACAAAAAGTGGGACATCCGACTGACAGGTCTTGTCATTTCACGCTATTTTGCGTAAATCAGTCTTTTCTCTATAATCAATTTTTTGCCAAATATGATAATCCCTGTCTTTGCCGTAGGTACAGCTGGTGAGCCCGTTTTACAATAGGAAAAAACGGGTGTCCCACTTTTTGTGCTCACGACTGTACTTTGTCTTATTTCAATCGTGTTCATTAGGGGAAGATGAAACACAAACAGCTGGTAATCGGGTTAAACGGATCATCAGTGTGTCCAGAAAAGCCTATTATTTTATTTCCTCTTTTAATAATCCTTGACAGTTATTTAAGGACATCAACGCGAGAAAAGCTAGTAGAGAATAATTTAAAGTTAAAATGTCATCGGTACACTTCTATAACAAACACGAAATCAAATTTCAGAGTTTTGAAAGCAATAACTTTTGAATTAATATAAAAAGTTCTGCTCAAAGCTATATTATTGAGCATCTATACAGCAAAAACACTGGAAAAAGTATGATTGAGTTTGGTATAAAATACGAAAACAAATTTCAACTTTTTAACTGTAAAAAGTTTAGGCGACGTTTCGTAAGTTAACCAAGAGTCTTGGTTTTTCCGGTCCCCGTTCCGTAACCTAACTACAACCACTCCTGGAATCTGGCTAGGTTATAGGTTATGAAACACGAGGTGTGTTTGTTTGTGTCGCACTTGAACCTGAGATGTGATATTTCAGACAGATATAACCATAATAACATAACACAAATGAACGCCCCAAAGCAGGAAACGCTGCTCCGAACAACACAAAAAACAAACCTGATCGCGGTTCCTTAAAAATTCGGTTCTAACTGTCAACCGAATCTACCAATAAAAAAAGCTTTTGGTTGGGCACTTTCCAAATTTCACCGATAAATTAACCGGTTACATAAACCGGTAGCTGTCAGAAAATTCCTGCGCGAAATTCGCTGTTTTTTGACAGTGCTTCGACAATTTGACGTTTTATGCGTGTATCAAACGTCAAATTGTCAAAGCAATGTCAAAAAACAGCGAATTTCGCGCAACTAATAGCGTTTTCCATTTGTCGAACCAGGGCAAAAAAATTTATCCTTATCCTATTTACATGTTACATGCTTTTAAAAAAAGATGCGAATACACTCAGTCCGCACTAATTGACAAATGGAAATCGCCATGAAAATGAAGTCTAGATTCTTTGTCAGTTCAGAGTCTCAGTTGCGCAAAATTCGCTCTTTTTTGACATTGGGCAATTTTTCGCGAGGATAATCAAACATACTCGAGTTGCTGGATGAGTATGCTGGATTATGTGATTTGTCAATAGGTTCCTTGCATCAAATTTTTTTATTGCGGATTTCGATAGTCCATGAAAAATAAGTCAACACGTGTTTTTTCTTTTTCTTGTGAGTCAAAAATTGACGGAGATACAACGCTTTGAAATGTCCTTCCGACGTCATAACTTAGGTATAATACGTTGTGAGTTGTGACGTCGCACATGCTCAGTATATCTATATACATAAAACTCAATATTTGTTATAACTTCCGAAATAATCATATTTGGACAAAATAGAAAAACACGCATCGATTTTTTTTCGATTTCCTACAGTTTGCAATAAATAATAATCAATTTAATTTTTCATGCAAGTACCCTATTGTGTCATACTCCCCTAGCTCCCGCACCATCAAATTCTGGGATACTTGAGGATCAAGAACACTAATGACCGTTTGCATCAACTTTGCCAAATTTATAGTCGCTCCTTGAGGTTTCCTCAGACCTTAAGGGAGCCTTGAACGTTTAGAATTGACATGACCAACTTGTCAAATCTTAGCCAGAGCCAGTGTCCATTCTAAACTCACGACCTGCAAGGAAGAGTCAAGGATCGACTATAAATTCGGCCCTAAAGGGAGGTTTAATGATAATCACCGTTTGAAGTGACATTTTCACATGTGAAAATTTCTCTTTAAACGTTGATTATCGTTAAACCTCCTTGTCGGTGCAAACGGCCATTAATTTCTTCTGTGAGAACAGGAAGCATTTCATCGAGGTCTGCGGCTGACGTCATCACTATAGCGTTCTAAAATACATCAGAAAAATCTTGTAACCGGACTTACATCTAACTTTCACTGGAATTTTGCGACAGCTACCGGTTTATTAACCCGGTTGATTTATCGGTGAAATTTGGAAAGTGCCCTTTCAATGCTCACGACTGTATGTCAAAAAATCTCCAATCGAAAAAACCGACTGAAATTCCCGGTGGATCTGGTGCTTCACCGGTTTCACGCACAAATGCACCGTGGGAACTTAATCCAGATTAGTTGCTATACCTATAAAATCAGATTTTGACTTCTTTTTTATATACAAATTTTCGAACTAAACGAGATTACTCCTAAGTCCATACGGTGCATATGGGCATCAAACAGCTGATCATTTCGGTTAATTTTGGAACGGATGATCTGGTTTAACTGGTAAAAAGTCGGTACATTTTGGAATGGTTTGTTGAGTAAACTATTTAACCGGTATCATACTGGTTCAGAAACCGGTGAATTTTGGAAAGTGCCCATAATTTGGTTTGTTTTCAATTTCTGACATTTGTTTGTTAGGGTAGGTGATGGATTTTCAAATTTTCAAATTTTTCTCCGGTTTTCGAAGTGTATTTGTGGTGAAAATGGAACAAGAGGTAAATATTAATTACATTTATTCATGACGGATATATTTTTAAGAGAATAATATTCTATCATCTAGCATCCAAGCTAAACCAAAGAATTCCACACAAGGCTGGTTTACCAGCTAATAGTGTATAATGCACAATTTTTAATTCTTAATTCACAATCGGCAGGTTCGACATTTTTCTATTTTAACTGAAACCAAGAGATTTTGTTATTGAAAATCGATTAAAAAAAGTTTGAGCGTAAAATATTAACATTTATGTTTGTTGCGAGAAGCTTAAAATCAACGATCGGCTAGAAAACGTACCTGTACGCGAGACTAGGCCGCGTGGCGTCAGAAGCCAGATACGCCACGTGAATTCGTATACTCTCCGTTTAGGCTTTAAACGGAAACGTTGATCCGATTAACCCGACCTCATGCTATTTGTTTTTCATCTCTCAATGAACACGATTGAAGAAAGCCAAATTACATCAGCTGTTAATCCGGTTAATGGGATCAGCGTTTGCGTTAAGGCCTATACGGAGAGTATACGAGTTCACGTGACGTATCTGGCTACTGACGTCACGCGGCCAAGTCTCGCGTATCTACAGGTAGGATTTTTGGCTTGCCGCCGATCGTTGATTTTAGATTGCTTGCAACGAACGTAAATATTAATATTTTGCGCTCAAACTTTTTTTGATCGTTTTTTTCATAACAAAATGTCTGGATTTCAGTTGAAATGACAGAAATACGAAAAATGTCGAACCTTCTTCATTCGTGATAGCCAAAAACCGCATTTTCAGGAACCAAATTGTCATCATACACCAACCGCTTCATACCGATCAGTAACCCTGGTTAAAATACGAAACGCCGCCTTAGTTTCATCATAGGTAAGTAATTTGTTACCAAAAGTATGCTTTCCCAAGGTAGCCACCTGATAGGCGCAGGAGGTCGTCCACCAATCTCTGCATATTCTTTCCTATATTGCGGCTTTGACATGGCAATGTCTGTGATTTTTATTATGTATCCTCTTCCTACCAAGCAATTTCTAAAAAAAAAACAATGGAATCGATATCGTTTTTTATTCCGAAATCATAAGAAAATGATTTACCTTGCAGCTAAGTCTTTGTGAACTACATGCTTGGATTCTAGATATTTCATTCCAGATGCTATTTGTGTTGCGATGTATATGAGGCTTCCAGAACTACAGAAAAATTGTATTATTTCAAATCTGAATATGCTTATAGATTCAATAAAGATTGTTGAATTTGTTTTGAAAAAAACTCTATTCTATAACTTGACGGGTAATATGAAACATTCCCCCTGGGTATGTATCCGCTTGGAGATTATGTTGACAAGAAAATAAAGGTAAAAGATAATAATTAGAAAATAATATTGGGTTTCCTTATCGGCTTTCTGTGTCGTTATTTATTACTTTTTTTTTTCTTTTCGATCGTTAAACCATATAGGTTGTAATAATAGGTATTGCCAATTTATCAGGAGGACAATTTTCTCCTGAGAATGAACTAAACAACTTTCGGAATTCAATCGTAGTAAACGAATTATCCAACTTCAATTAGCAACAATGTTGTCAATAATTAATCAACAAAATTAATATGTTTTTGTTTACTACACACTACACACTTTAATAACTTAGAAAGCACATTGAAAATGTTAGAATTTCATTTATTACTGTCTCTCAGCGCAGTGCAAGGCTGCTTTCTTTAGCGATGGCTAGAATAACCCAATTAAAGTGATTGTAATTAGACGAGTGATTGTGATCGATTTTCTCTTGTTGGAAATTAGCTTTTATGGAGAGAAGAGCATTAGTGACAGACTATATGAAAAAGGAAAACTTTTCAATAGATACTGATTGTGATGGTTTCAATCGGAGATAAGTTTAATCAAATTTACCTTATAGGTTGATCTTCTGAAGATCTTATGCTACCATTCCTATTCACTAGAAATTGTAAATATTGAGCTAAGTCGCCCATTTCTCCATATTCGATTATGGTCCAAGGGGGTTGTTCTGATGTACACACCTATTAATCAAAAATTAGGGACAATTCGAAAAAATCATCCGTACTAAGTACTTACCCCTAAAACTTTACAAATATTAGCATCATTCAACCCTGCCAAAAACCTAATTTCTCTCAGGCTCGCTAATGGTTCACCTTTACATTTTTCTGGATTCGAAGTTCTAACTGCCACTAATCTGGAAACATCTGGCAATACATCTTCCAAGTTTTCTGTTTCGTAAAGGGAAAGCTGCAAATTCATATAATTTTCACTTTTATTTTCACAGTTAAAAATTTTAAGCTTAAATAAACCCCGGAAGTCCCAAAGTAACGATACTGTGGAAAACCTATTTAAAAGAACAATATTTTCCTATTTTCCGGCAGGATAAGGTTTGCTTGGCTTGTGAGAGAAAATGAGGTTGCCAAGGTAACTAAAATGCTTTCAGGCTACTCATAAGTTAAATTATCAAGTTTGGTAGTATAAATGATAAATGGAGAGAGCCACTAAAAATTTCCATTCATTTTACTATAAAATAGTTCAAATTGATTGAATCTTAACTGTTAAAATCTTTGTAAGTATTATTATTATGTCGCTCGATCTAGCGTTATTTTTCTTACATCATGTCCTTTCTCAGTCAGTATACTTTACATAACAAAGAATCTATCCTAGCGTATAAATCAATAGGCAATTTAACTTACTACAAGAAAGGAGGACTATTGTGCTGACTTTGAGCAAAGTTAAAGTTATAGGGTCCAGTGACTTTCTGCTTTCCAGAGTTCGACGATGTATTTTAAAGAGAAAGGGTAATATTCGGCACTATGAAAATTCGTCTTTGAAATCTTTTGTCTTTATACAATAATAATTGAAACTTTGATGTAGCTTTTGCTTACCTCTCCTGCAGAGCAAGATCCCAACTTTTCTACTGGTCGGAGAGCGTATCTTGGAATCGGAACTAGTTCTACTTCTTTGCAAGAGTATGGTTGGCCCATGCTTGGTACTATATTCCAACATACCAGCGGAGGAGAAACCTACACAAACGTATTTTATTCAATTGGCGAAATTTCCACTGAGCAGCTAAAATTTATTATTACCCTCGCCATTTTTCATTACTTAGCATTTCCAAGAGTTGAAATTTCATTTCTCATCCCCTGTGCTCTAATGCCCGTTAATTTATTGGGCGCTTTTGTGATTTATTTCGTCGAAAATTGAGAAAATGAAAGGAAAATCCTGTATTTATTTAAAACAGTCATTCTTGAAATAATATATCAACCTATTTACGGGTTACGCAAAATGTCTTGCACTTTTTTACTTGTAAATAAATTTTCAAGAAACGATCGCACGCTCAACTGGCCTCCCTCAGAAATTCCAGAAAATAGATTTAATCGGGCGACGAAAATTTTAATATTCAAATGGGCCTAACTCAACGTTTATTCGAGGAGGTAGAAAAATTTCAGATAATGAAATGTGGCAAGGTAGCTACAGTACTAAAACTATAACTCCAAATGACCTAAAGTTTTCAGGGATTGTAGTGGAAAAGGAATCGCTGAAAATTTCACCTTTATATCTTTGATAGAAAAAAAGTTATGACTTTTCAAAGTTTTCAGGGTGTTTTTTTATATATTGACACCCCACCTACAGCCTTTACCTTTACAAGTAGAAGAAAGGTGTAAATATAAAAGTTATACAGTTTTTTTACTTAACCAAGCTAGTAATATAATGGGTACATTCAGGCAGTTCTAGCGGCTAAGCTCATCCACTCAGCAGGAACTTTATTCTCGAAATAGGGGAGCAGCGTTCTCATTGGAACGAAGGTTCTGTCTTTGTCGTTCGGCATAACACTGACAATGACAGAGCAATCGTTCTTATGAGAACGCTGTTCCTTGGTTTCGAGAATAAAGTCCCTGCTGAGTGGCTGAGCCTAGCAGCTGGGACCGGCTGAATGTACCCATTGTGACAAATTATTCAAGTACAAACGAGTGGATTGTTGCGGAACTTATGGGTGGACCTCTGCGGGACGAGCGCAGCGAGTTCCACCGTCATCGATTCATCAATATGTTGTGTAATTACGATACTAACCTGACTCACTCAAATGTGAGTTATTTTCATTATTTTGAAAAGTACCTACACGTTTCAGGTGAGTGTTTTATTTGAACACTATATTGGTGAGTAGATGGCTGCGGAACTCGCTATGTTCGTGCCACAGGGGTCCACCCATAAATTCCGTAATAAGTCACTTATTTATACTTGAACAATAACTTATTATATAAAGTCAGAATTTGTAAGATTATCCACTTTTTGTCAATTTGCCTATTAACGGGAATTAGTTATGTTACTTTACCAAATTAGTAATATAATGTGACAAGTTATTCAAGTACAAACGAGTATATTGTAGCGAAACTTATGGGTGGACCTCTGCGGGACGAGCGCAGCGAGTTCCGCAGCCATCTATTTATCAATATGTTGTGTAATTACGGTACTAACCTGACTCATTTAAATGTGAGTTATTCTCATTAGTTTAAAAAGTACACGTTTCAGGTGAATGTCTTATTTGAATAGTTCTACAGTATATTGGTGAGTAGATGGCTGCGGAACTCGCTGCGCTCGTCCCGCAGAGGTCCACCCATAAGTTCCGAAACAATTCACTTATTTGTACTTGAATAATAACTTATTATATAAAATCAAAATTTGTAAGATTATCCACTTTTTGTCAAGTTGCCTTTCAACAGGAATTAGTAATGTTATTTTACCAAACTTGTAACGTAATGTGACAAATTATTCAAGTACAAACGAGTGGATTGTTGCGGAACTTATGGGTGGACCTTTGCGGCACGAGCGCAGCGAGTTCCGCAGCCATCTATTCATAAATATGTTGTGTAATGATGATACTAACCTGACTCACTCAAATGTGAGTTATTCTCATTAGTTTAAAAAGTACACGTTTCAGGTGAATGTTTTACTTGAACAGTTCAACAGTATATTGGCGAGTAGATGGCTGCGGAACTCGCTTTGTTCGTCCCACAGGGGTCCACCCATAAGTTCCGTCATAATCCATTTATTTATACTTGAACAATAACTTATTATGTAAAGTCAGAATTTGAAGATTATCCACTTTTTGTCAATTTGCCTATTAACGGGAATTAGTTATGTTACTTTACCAAATTAGTAATATAATGTGACAAGTTATTCAAGTACAAACGAGTATATTGTAGCGAAACTTATGGGTGGACCACTGCGGGACGAGCGCAGCGAGTTCCGCAGCCATCTATTTATCAATATGTTGTGTAATTACGATACTAACCTGACTCATTTAAATGTGAGTTATTCTCATTAGTTTAAAAAGTACACGTTTCAGGTGAGTATCTTATTTGAATAGTTCTACAGTATATTGGTGAGTAGATGGCTGGATCCACCCACAAGACATTAGCCGTACCCCGGTCACAGGGCTTCGGAGTCGCGCGCAACACATTACTGTCAGTTCTAGCTAGCGTTCCACATGATCACTGATCAGCTGATTATTGTTTGTTAAGTTTTAAGCCCCAAATCATGTTATCGTAATCTTAAAATATATACTTTCTGCCCTGCCCTTCCAGAAAAATTGATAATTTTTGAAAAAATAAAATTCAGGGTTTACGGTTCATGTTAATTTTTTGAAAACCTAAATTTCGAATTTTTTAAATTTTAATGTATTTGATTCAAATTTTTTTAGCACGAATAGCTTCTTTCTTTTAGAGAGAAAATGCAGATTAACCCAAACTAACCTGTCCAGCTAGTGGGATCTAGTCCTCATAAGTTAGGTACTATTTTATTTTAAAAAAAAAAGCAAGTTAATTTAGTTTAGAGCATAGAGTCCCTTCAGCGCTCTTTATTTTTTAAATGAAATGCTAATTTACAAAGACATAGATAGCACTAGATGGTCGGTTATTTTGGGTAAGTCTGCATTTTCTATCTAGAAGGCATCAAGGCATGGGCGCCCACAGGGAGGGTCAGGGGGGGTCACTCGACCCCCCCTGGAAATTACTTAAATTTTAATTATTTTCTATATATATTATATTGTAGGTCCGATGGGGCTCGTATGAGCGAAACTGGCTTACTTGCATTCGGCCACAAACCAGGTAGCTGCAGTAATCCTACCTTTGAATTCGACCAAATCATGAAACCCAACCTACTTTCCATAAAACTTACATTATGATGTTGACAGATTTCGCATTGCATATGAGTTAATAAATCTAAAAAAGTGTAAATATGTATTTTGATGCGCAAAATAAAAAGATCTACCAAAATGACTATGGAAAGATTCACAGGCATTTGTTGTCTTATCCAGGTCTATCGAGGCATGTGCCATGTGTCGATGAGATAATCTGAAAATTTAACTAGAACTTCGTGATTCGGCTGAATAGCTAACAACTCGAAAACAAATAAATCGCTAACTTCTTGATTCTCCAAAAACATCATTCCAAAACAATTATGTAACGATTTACCGATTTCTGATTTTTTTTTTTATATTCAATGCTTAAGCCTAAGTTTTGGATCTTCCTCTACCATGCCTGAGATTTTAGCTATTTATAAGAAGTAAATAAGTTGATTTAATATCTATATCTCAGTGTACCGATTTGCATATTGATAAATTGTCACCCTTTCCTTATTCCGGAACTGGTGAATTTTGTGGCTGAGTTCAAGGATCCCGGAACTAAACACATGTCACTATTAAGTGAATCAGATAATAAACAATCTGTGTGTTAACATGTGGCCTTTCAAATTATGTTTTTGCTTAAATTTTGCATTGCAAGTGTCACATTCAAATGTTAAATATCCGAATGTGTTAGTTTGTGAATCTTTAAATTGGCTTTCCATTTAAATTTTGATTTGCAAGTGTCACATTCAAAAGGATAAATATCCGAGTGTGTTGAAATGTGCCTTTGTAAATTACTTTTCTTCAAATTTTGCCTTGCAAGTGTCACATTCAAATGGATAAATACCCGAATGTGTAAGTTTGTATATTTTCAAATCGCGTTTCCGTTTAAATTTTGATTTGCAAATGTCCCATTCAAAAAAATTAAATATCCAGGTGTATCAATATGTGTTCCTTCAAATCGCCTTCTCTTTTCAATTTTGCATTGCAAATGTTACATTTGAAATTCTCCTCATTCGAGTGTGTTAATATGTGGCTTCTTAAACTACGTTTGTGTTCAAATTTTGCATTGCATGTGTCACATTTAAAAGGATAAATATCAGACTGTGTTAGTTTGTGTCTCTTTAAACAGTCTTTTCGTTTGAATTTTGCTTTGCAAATGTCACATTCAAAAAGATAACTATCGAAGTCTGTTGATATGTGACTTCTCAAATTACCTTTTTGTTTAAATTTTCCTAATTTAAATTTTGCATTGCATATGTTGCATTTAAAATTCTTCTCGTCCAAGTGTGTTAGTTTGTCTCTTCAAACTGCCTTTTTTTTTAATTTTCCTTTGCAAATGTTGCATTTAAAATTCTGATTCTGCTTCCAAAATAATAATTTAGACTGAAGTGCCCTTTTTTACGCATAAAAAATTTATTCAATTGATTTTGACCCCCCTACATATTTTTCTGCGGGCGCCCCTGCATCAAGAGGCCTGTTCTAAATTGAACATAAAGAGAATCTGTGATAAAGAGGTTATATTATCAATTCACCAATCTTAAATCTGGTGGAGATACCTATTCCGTGCGCTAATCGCCGACCTTTAAAAAATAAAGTAAAGGTTTGCCACATGCGGATTTATATACTACTCAAAACGAAATAAGGACCACTTTTAAGAGCAAGGTTTTCATTAAATTTTGAATAACCCTGGTAAAGTGACTATTTCCATTTACAAGAAGTATAGATAAACAAATAAAGTGTGCACAAAAAATTTATATTGTGAATGGAAATAAACACATTACCAGGGTTATTCAAAATTCATTAAAAATAGATGGGTTTTCAAAAGTGGTCCTTATTTCGTTTTGACTAGTTTATAAAATATGTAGTTTCGCTACTCGCGGATCTTGTTTGGTTTGTAAAATTGGATCCAGTTCCTTATCCCTTTAATTTTCATAGATGAAAAAATCTCCTAGTGGAAAGGAAGATATAGATGAGTAACAATTTATGAAGAAAACACCAATATCATAACTAGCATAACAATACAAGCAAAGAAGTTAATGGTTATATATTTAGACTACCAACGTGCCAACACCTCTCAAATTTTGTATAATTATTAATTATTTTTGAAGCTCAACATAAAGATTACGATATCAAGCTTCAAACATAAACAAATAATCAGCTGCTGGAACTGACAAACAAAGAAATGACAGAGTATGAGCGCGACTCCGAAGCTCTGTGACCGGGCTACGGCTAATGTCTTGTAGGTCCACCCAACCTAGCAATTGCCCAGATCTTTATTTGATTGAGCAATCTCTCATATATTCGGTTCCAAAAATTGTAGAAATACTATCCTACTAGGTACTGATTTTGTGAACCATTCTACCTGTATAGGTATAAGCTGCAGGTAAAATTTGAGGTACTTGGTTTCTCTGATAGTATTTTTGAAATTTTTAGAACCAATTGTGTTAGAAACCGCTCAACCAAATATAAACAAATTTTGTTAAGATTTTGTGTCCTAATGGTGCTTTGGGATCCTCCAAACTCCATACACTAAATTATTCTGAGATTTGGAGCAAGATTCTATGAAAAAAGGCACTCAGAAAAATTGATAAATCACGCCAAATTGCCTAACACGATTTTATTTCTGAAACTATAAATCCAAATGAGCTGAAATTTTCACGGATCAAAGTTTTGTGATTGATAAATCAGTACCTATTTCGTTCTTACCCTGTGTTTCTCTCTAGGTGCTGTACTATAATATTTTTTGCCTCTTTCATTCGAATCCCTAGAAAAATATTTATTGCCTATACTCATTATTTTCGATTTTGGACTTAATGTTGGAGTTGCTTGCAAACTTCTAAAAAAAAAACCGAATAAATAATTCCAGAAATTAATTACTAAATCTCTTACCGATAATTCATTGGCGTAGACGCCTGATTATTGAGCGGTGATTCTGGTTCTGGCGAATCTGGGAAAGGTGGAACATCTGGAGGTATTTCTTCTTCATCAATATCACAAGGCGAAATAGCTGGTGCAGGCTCAATTGTACTTGAACATCTTAACGTAGCATAATTAGATGTGTAATAGTTTCCAGCCAATGATAGACGATATTCTTCATATGTCATAGGGGTAACTGGTTCCAGGCACTCCAAATGACTGACTGGAGTTATTGGGACGCTTTGATTCGGTGCGCTTTGAGCGTTGCTTGATGAAAAGTTCATTAAAAGATCCTGAAATTATTATTTTATTTGCAATCCAATTTTGAATGCACTAGGATACGTACTTTCATATTCATTTTAACTCCAAATGGATTTCTAAATAGTGTAGGCGATCCTTGAAGTTTGTGTCTTTTGTTTATGATCAAGATGATTAAGAAAACAATAAGTAGTAAGAGCATGATGGCTGTTAGTACTCCTATGATGATTTCTACGTAGGCGTCACTGTTTTTTTTTGCTGCAACTGGAAATTAATAATTGTTATCTGCAAATTTTAGGTATTATTCTACATGATTTGGCTTAATGCATTATAAATATTTATCGCGAAGATTTTCCAATTTCGAATATAGCATCACCGAAAATAAGCCGCCCATAAAATATTCATTGGTTTGTAAGAGGGAGGGTAAATTAAACAAAACGCTTTTCGAAATGGAATTTCAAACAGGCAATGTTCATTATGTTCTAAACGAAATGTTCCATTTATTATTGTATTTGATTATAAATACCTACCAAATATTTTCCAATTAGATGTTGTATGAAAAAGTTAATCAAGAAAATATTTGCTGGCATTTTATTGTCGTTTGAGCAAGGCATTGCTATATAGGAAAGAGGAAAGTGACTTTTTCTTGCCGGAGGATAATATTATTATGTACCTAGGTGTTATTGCTTGTACGGTAATAAGTTTTTCATGAAAACATTTATGTATACTTTTGTCATCTATCAATTTTATCTAATACCAGAAAACCATTTATTTTTAAATAAAGATTAATGACGAAGAACCGAAAACCATTATAATTTTGATTTAGCCGCGGTTAACAAAAGAGCGCGTCATTTAGTGAAAACAATGCGCCAGCGCCTTTTTGGGGCCGTCATAATAATACCCTCGTGTATTATGAAAGACAACGGGCAGATTTTTTTTTTCAGGCTCCAAATTAAATCTACTGTGTTATTGTTTACATGGCTTTTTATTGTTGTATCTGGGGACTTTATTATACGGTGGAACAGTCTATCTTGATGGGGGTACGTAAGTATTTGAGTGATGTTTTGATAAATTCTTGTATTACAAAAATAACTTCAGGTTTGTAACATGTTTTCTATCAATATTTTTGTTTCAGAGAATTCATGACCAGTTCAATTCCATAAAAAGTAGTCAATCATTATTCTTGATTTTTATATCTATAGAACATAAAACAACTTTACTCCAAAAGAGATTTTCCTTATATGGGCGCATAAGGCACTTTAAGCCCAAATCCCCACTGAATCGGTAGTAGCAGGGAAAGTTTTAACAAGGGTATACCTTTTTTTTTTCAGGGTCTTCTGACCCATATTTTCGACTTATACCTATTTATATTAAAGTCTTGTCTAATATGGTTTGTCGGTAATGTCGGTCTCTTTTTTGAAAAAGCTAGAAGGAAATCATAAATATTATAATATAGGATTTTATTATAATATGTTGTCTTTTTTGTGAGCGAAAAATGTCAGTCATCGTTTTTTTTTTTTAAATGTCTTTACGTTTCTATAATTAGAAAAATTTCTGAAAAAAATCTACCCGGAAGGAATTTGCATACCGTTAGAACGAAACCGGAAACCAACAGTTCACCCTAGCTTTAAAATGCAAAATAATACAGTTTGCACTTTTGTATAGCAAGTATTTTGTTCCTAAAAACCCAGTTTCCTATATTTGCATATCGCTTATCACACGCGCCGACTTTTGAAAGCCCTCATGGGTGCAGGATAATAATTTTATAAATTTGTTTATAGGGGGAGGGGGAAGTTCGCCGCAGGCGCCGCTGGAGGCGAATTTTTTTTTCTACAAGCGTGCGAGAGGTGCTTTTTTCTGCACGAATTTTAGGTCTAGGAAATATCAATTTTCCGCACTAGTACGGAAAAGTATAATGATTATGCGATGGTAAGTCACTTTGGTACTTTCATGTTCTAGAATACGTGCGGAAAAGTACTTTTACGCACGGTCCTAAAAAAACCTCATTTAATTGCTACGCACACGCCCTAACTCACGTTTTGTTCTATTTTAGCCGCCTCTGTCTGTCAGACTGTCACTGTCAACCAATGAACTATGCGCACGAGCAAAGGCAAAATGGGTTCGTTCACCAGCACTCAACTGTTGCTCAACAGTTGAGTAGTTGGGTAAACATCAATCGCGTTCAGCGGCACTTAGCAAAATCCGCTGCCAATTTCTCTAAGCGGTAAAAATATACACTTACTAACTCAACTTATGCTTTAGACATGCGCAGAAGTGTCGGGCGTTCAAGAAATTTACATCCGCTGTATCTCAACTGTCCTCAACTGCTTTTCGCTGCATGTTAGCAGTTGAGTATTGGTGAACGTACCCATTATTCAATATTATAAAAGTTCCGACATATAGAAAAGATAATATCGATATTTTTTCGATATATCGAATGTAGAATTTCGATTAAAATATATCGATATATTTGAGTAATAGGCAATTTTTCGCGAGGATAACCAAGCATACTCATACTCGATTATGCTCAGATATTATGCGTCAATTGTGTCATACTCCCTACAGTGACTCTATTACCACAGTGGCGACAATTACTGTCTTATTTTTGATTGGTTCTAAAATCCCATATATTTATATTGAAAACGCCGCCATCTTGTTCCCAACCTCTCGTTACTTTTAAATATGAATATATGGGATTTAGGTGAACATCCATCATAAATCATGGAAAACAACGTATTTGATGGACCTAATAATGGTTATCAAATACGTCGATTTCAATTTTTTATGATAGATGTCCATTCAAATCCTATATATTAATATTTAAAAGTAACAAGAGGTTGGGAACAAGATGGCGGCGGGCCATCTTGTTCCCAACCTCTTGTTACTTTTAAATATTAATATATAGGATTTGAATGGACATCTATCATAAAAAATTGAAATCGACGTATTTGATAACCATTATTAGGTCCATCAAATACGTTGTTTTCCATGATTTATGATGGATGTTCACCTAAATCCCATATATTCATATTTAAAAGTAACGAGAGGTTGGGAACAAGATGGCGGCGTTTTCAATATAAATATATGGGATTTTAGAACCAATCAAAAATAAGACAGTAATTGTCGCCACTGTGGTAATAGAGTCACTGTTAGGAGAGTATGACACAATTGACACATAACATCTGTGCATAATCAGATTATGTTTGATGATCCTCGCGAAAAATTGCCTAATGTTTTAAATATTTACGAAACATTGATTTAATTGCCATCCCCACCCACGCGCAAAACTAAATTATATGGCATACGGCGCAAGCGCCAGACTTCTCGTTGTGGGCCGGACTGTCACGATTATTTATTATCAAAGATTAGAGATAGAGAATAGCAACATATTATAATAGAGAATTGACCACAAATAACAAAAGGACAGAATACTAATACCACTTGTATAATTCTTAATTCTTATACAAAGTTTTGTAAATTTAAATTACAAGATACTGATACTGTCACATGGAACGGAATGACCATTAAACATGTTTGTAATTCCGCATCCCCTATAAGAGCTCTCATGGGTGCTCCGCACCCATGAGAGGTTGTTCATGGGTGCACCTGCCCCGATGCCCCCATGTAGTCGGCGCCAGTGTCGCTTATGTAATCAGTCTTAATCGAATTTTAATATAATTACTGGAATAGAAACGTACTTATTGTTTTATCTTAAACTATGAAAATGACCAGTACAGGGTGGGCCAATTTGGACACTTTCTTATGGAAACGCCCTTTATTTTTAGAGATAGAAAAAAATGAACCCCCCACTCTGAGGCGCAAATTTCATGAAATTTTTATTGGTGCAAACCACATTTTGATATTGAGCTATTAATATATAGGTTGTCCTATTGAAAAAAACCACACTTTGGTCAATATCTTAGCGTTGGGACCAACTAGAAAAAAACTGAGAATTCTGCTTGAAAAAGTGCTTCAAGAAAGTTATTACGGAAATCAATAATTCTCATAAACAAAAAAGTTATGATGGTTTCACATTATTGCTCAAAATCGAGAATCGCCCTCTAGCGGCTAAACGGTTTAAGATATCAAAATGTGGTTTGCACCAATAAAAATTTCATGAAATTTGAGCCTCAGAGTGGGGGGTTCATTTTTTTCTATCTCTAAAAATAAAGGGTGTTTCCATAAGAAAGTGTCCAAATTGGCCCACCCTGTACAGTTTATATAAATAGGAACATCCTCTTACACTCTTATATTTTTCCAAAGAACTCTTGAGGAAAACATTTTGAAACTTTCAGTATAGGAAGAGGAAGGTAAGAAGCTCATTATACTAGAATTTCAAATGGATCTAATAACCACATGAACAGTTCTTGGGCTTAGACTATAAAAATTACCATTAAAATTACTATAAATAGGAATATCCTCTTGCAGTCTTATATTTTTCCAAAGAGCTGTTGAGGAGAACATTTTGAAACTTTCAGTATAGAAAGAGGAAGGTGAGAAGTTCATTATACTAGAATTTCAAATGGATCTAACAACCACTTGAACAGTTTTTGGGCTTAGACTATAAAAATTACCATTAAAATTAATATAAATAAGAACATTCTCTTGCACTCTTATATTTCTCCAAAGAACTGTTGAAGAGAACATTTTGAAGTTTTCAGTATAGAAAGAGGAATGTAAGAATCCCATTATACTAGAACTTCAAATGGATTCAACAACCACATGAACAGTTCTTGGGCTTAGACTATGAAAATGGCCAATAAAATTAATATAAATAGGAACATCCTCTTGCACCCTTATATTTTTCAAAGGAACTGTTGGGGAGAACCTTTTGAAACTTTCAGTATAGAAAGAGGAAAGTAGGAAGCCCATTATGCGAGAATTTCAAATGGATCCAACAACCACATGAACAGTTCTTGGGCTTAGAATATGAGAATGGCCAATAAAATTAATATAAATAGGAACATCCTCTTGCACCCTTATATTTTTCGAAGGAACTGTTGGGAAGAACATTTTGAAACTTTTAGTATAGAAAGAGGAAAGTAGGAAGCCCATTATGCGAGAATTTCAAATGGATCCAACAACCACATGAACAGTTCTTGGGCTTAGACTATAAAAATTACCATTAAAATTACTATAAATAAGAATATCCTCTTGCAGTCTTATATTTTCCCAAAGAGCTGTTGAGGAGAACATTTTGAAACTTTCAGTATAGAAAGAGGAAGGTAAGAAGTTCATTATATTAGAATTTCAAATGGATCCAA